TTGGTGCACTGCCAAAAGAAAAACTTAAGAAACAAGCAAAGGAAATGTAATAACAGTAAAAAGTCGCCTTTTAAATACCCTATAAATTTAAATAAATATTTTAAAATTTTTTATGAATTTAATTTATTTATTTTCAACTTGGATTTTAAATTAGTAAAAGTCTTGGATTCTTAAAAAAAGTATATATAGCAAGAACATCTTGAGAATTGTAGCGCTTTTGCTGTTTGACTTTCTTTTCTACTGATTTGTTTAAAAAATAATAAGAATGTATTGCTATACTATATGAAAAAATTACCCAAAGAATAATTTTGAATTAAGATTTAATTTTACTAAAGTATCTTAACCCTAAAGGATAGGGTATAACCAAAAAGGCAGTGCCAGAGTCCATTGAACCAACGAGGGGGTGAGTTTAAAAGGCGGCTGCCAGGGGGGTCGGGGGTGCTTGTAATGGGCCAAAAAGGATTGGGAGACAAGGGGAATTGGTAAAGGGGATTTTTTTGGGAGGTGTTTCGATGGGAGGGATGTACGCAAGATACACAGATACATACACATAGACTTACAGTTCCATGCAGATTTTTGGCTTCCACTTGTTGTGTGTTTTTGTGCTTTGTGTGTCTTCCTGCCTCTTTCGCCTCAATCGATTCCATTCACTAAAAAACAAAACGAAAATAAAAAAAATAATGTTGGCTGCCTAGGAACAAAGCGAAAACAATATACAGGCGTATATGTATCTTATAGATACACCCAAAAAATGGGGAAAAAATTAAAAAGAAACCGGCAAGAAGAAACGAACGACAGAAAAATGAAGTCATAAAAGCCGCGACAAAAAGGAAATAAATAAGAGAACAAAAAAAAAATAAAACGAATAACAGAAAATGAATATTAAAAAAAAAGCGAAATAAGAACGACAGAAAGCCGAGATACAAATCTGTGTATCCGTTGGATACCAGAGTGTGTGTGTGTTTTTTATACATCCATATACATATATATATATATATACTTATATATTTAGTTGTATTTATGTGTGTATTTAATCTGCAATGATCTCCAGCTCAGAGACTTCTTGATGGGGGGAAAAAAGGTCAAAGTATCTCTCGCTCACTCTCCCTCTCTTTCTCTGGGTGCAACAAAAACAACATCAAATAAGCACACACACACACACACACACACACATACAAAGAGTGAGCGAGAGCCACTGTAAAGTTAAAGTCGCAGCTGGTTATGTTTACAAAAAAGAGATGGCCTTATCGAAAGCCTGCAAGTGGAAGGGAGAGGTAAAGACAGAGAGAACGAGAGGTGGTAAACAGTTACAACCGCATAAACCAGATACATACACAAAAGTATCTTTATTTCATACATACTTATAGATACATTTATATATTCACAAATATATAAACATATTTAGGTATATATGTACTAAAAAAAACCCTGATAATTATTTCTGAATTTAATGCATCAAGAAAAGTAAATAAAATAAAATCAAATAAGAATAATAACACAAAAAACGAAACTACCTTCGGGTAGCCAAAGTTTGTATACCCTTACAGTCAGGAATCCATCATAACTAAGCCAAAAATGCCTTAATTTCAATTCGGAAAGCAGTTTTGTCTTAGTTTTTAATATATTAACAAGTCTATATACGTAGTTTACAAATTTAAATAATTCAAAATTTTTGCAATTTTTTGAAAATTTTAATGATGTAATCCCTTAAAAAATGGGAAATTTTTGAAAAAAAATTTTGTTTGGTCATATAATGCTAGAAAGATTCGCCTTTTGATGCTGATCAAGAATATATATGATTTATAGGGTCGGAAATGGTTCCTTCAGTGCTTTATAAGCTTTTTACTGCAATTATAATACCCTGAAAATGCATATTAATTTTATCTAAAAGAATTATTTTTAGAGTGTAAGTTTTTTAATTTGTAATATAAAATATGTTAATAAAAATATTGCTATAACCTTGTAAATGTAAACTTTAAACACGATTTTTTTCTGAACAAAAAAGCCTTTTAAATTTAATAAAAATAATTCTTTTATAAGCAATTAAATTTAATTTTTTGCTCTTCATGGGTACTTTTGTGCTTTTTGGTTCAGTGTATTTATATTTATTGTGAGTTAGCATGTTGGTATGCCTGTGTGTGTGTGCCAGCGTGTGTGTGTGTGTGTTAGTACATGGCCAATATACAATTTTGTGCCATCGGCCACCAAAAACTGAGGGCCACACCAACAACAGCAACAAAAATAAGAACAACAACAGCGAAACAACAACAACAATTGCAGCAACGAAGGTCGTCGCCGTCATTTTATTGTTGCCTCTGCTTTGGCCTCTGCCGCAGTCAGCGTCGAAGCGAACGCAGACGTCGACAGCGATAGCATCGCAGAATTCCACATAGAAAATTGAGAAAACTGCATTAAATTTTCGTCTCCATTCGCCATTTTGCACTCCATCTCCTCTCTGCCGTTGCCACCTCTCTTATGCAGCAGCCGCCGCTCAGTTCGCTCTCTCCCTCCCACTCTCTCGCCACCACCTACTCCGCCACTTCCTCTCCCTTTTGTTCGCTTCTTGTTTTGGCTATGATTTTGTTGCTTTCCCATTCACTTAGCCCAAGTTTTCCTATGTAAGTATGTACATATATACACACATACATACATATTCAAGCAAACACAATAGATGTCAAGAATTTAAGTTTTATACATACATACAGGGCTTTATAAATGTATTATTTATTACATTATTATTTGCAGATCCTCATAGTTAAAGTATTTTTCAATTTCACTTTAAAATTCTAATAACTTATTTTTAATTATCATTTATTTTCTAACTTGTGCGATCTACTATTGCGCCTGCTGCTGTACCACTGCTACATACATACAAACATACATATGTATATATGCCGAGCGTGTATGTATCTAAAGCTATTATTGCTGTACATAGATAATAATTCCCATAAGATATACAATTCGCATTTGATGATGACGATTTTGGGGAGAAATAGAGGATGTTGATAAAGCCAAAAGACACGAAGAATGAGAGGAAGAGGATGGCAAAGAAAACAGCTGCAGAGTTTCACAGTGAACGAGAGAGAGAGAGAGGGAGAGAGGAGCAACAGCAGACGCAGCGGAAGAAAGCGTTGCAAGAACGAAGAGAGCCAGAAAGAGAGCGCGCCATTCAAGGGTGGCTGCAAAGAGAATGTCCAGTTTGTTCCCTTTGGCCGCCATTTCGATCTACTTAAGGGGAAAAGAGAAGAGAATAAACAAAAGATACCCCAACCAAAGAAATAAATAAAACCCATAATTTATGTTATGATTAACATAAAAAGGAAACAAAATCAATCAAGTGTGAGAAGGGGAAGCAAAAACAAACAAAAAATATCTCGCAAATTAAAACAACATTAAGTCAAAAAAAAGAGAAGAGGCATCAGGGGAAGAGAACATTTACGGCATACACAAATAACAGCTGCCGAAAAAAACTAAAAATGACCAAAGGGAGGATAAAACCAAAAAGAAGAAGAAGAATGGAATATCTGATAAAACCAAGGACAAGTAATACAAGATAAAAAGAAGGGAGAACAAAGAAATTAATAAAAATAGTATTAATTGTGCAAATATGTAAGAATAAGATGTGAAACATAGAAAGATAAAAGACCAGGAAAATTTTTAATATCAATGCGATTTCTCTTACCAAGCTTTCTTCTCGTTCTTTTTTTCTTTATTTCATATTCTCTGTCTTCCCTTCCCTTCATCTTTTTCTTCCCCTAGCAAAGTCAACCCCGTGGAAGTGAGCAACAATAACCGTCCAACCCCCGTTGCCCCGCCCACGGCCCCTTTTCTTCATCGCCTTCTTCTTATTTTTACCAGCATTAAAATAGATACATATATATAGATATAAATATACATACATACACACATACCGTATATTAAGTGTGAGTGAGTGCGCTACAGCGTTTCTCCGCCTCCCTTCTCCTTCTCCTCCACCTCCTCGCCATCACTTTATTGCTGTATGTTCACGAAACGGGGCCTCGCCAAGAGACTATTCAAGTTGTGTGTCTGCAGACACAAAAAAAGGATAGAGGGGGGGAGATTAAAAAAAAAAAACAAAGAAAAGGTACATACCATTTTAAAAATTAAAGAATTTAATAATAAATAAATAGACAGTAAAGGGTATTTATACAGGATTTACAGTAATGTTCCTCCCTAACCCATCAATCTTCACTTTATTGCAAAGCTTTAAACGTATCCAATTTCGAATGGGGAATTTAGAAGGCCATCTTTTCCCATTAATCTTAATTTATACTATCACATTTATCCTACTTAATAAAATAGAAAGTAAATTTGAATTAGAATAAAAAATAAGGATGGATATATGTACATTCATACATACATACATACATTTGTATTTGGTAAATAAGAGAAGTTATATTCAGTGCTAAGCGACTTATTGCCAAAGTCGGAATATATTCCATTAAAATTCTAAATAATTAAGAATAAATTGCAATTTTAAATTTTAAAAATTTATAATTTAAAATGCAGACAAGAATATTAGTGGTTTGTTTGTTTATGTATTATTATTTTTGAAACTTTTCCAAAAACTCAACATACTAAAACAGTGATTAAAAAAATGCGGATAATATAGTTAATCATGTAAATGGTTTTACAGTTCGAATTCAAATATTTAAATCTGGCGCGCAAAGGCTATGCATATACTTCGTTCTCACTTTAAACACATTCAAGAAAACATAACGTGATATGCCAGAATAAAGCAACTAATTACAGAAAATATATATGATTAAATTAATAAATTATATTTAATTAAATACCTACGCAATTTATTAAAAGCGCCTTGGTAATGTCTTCGTTGAGTAATACACTTTTAAATGTCGTTAGTTAATAATATTTGAATACCTATAAAAATCGATTGGTATCGAAACTAATCCAGTGTGCACGTTCTTTCAATTTATCGCTATGTTCTATCGCCATCGGCAGCAACTTTTTCGCTCATGGCTGCTGCTTTTGAAACCTATCGATTATCGTTGCTGCGAAGGCGCAAAAACAATTGGAATTGTTGACAAAATGTGCGAATCGACGAAGACGACTCCAGAGGACCAAAGGAATGTGGAGATTAAGGCACACATACCAGGCGGAGCCGAGGGCTTCTCATTGCGCGTGGACATTGCCCGTCGCCTGACCGGCAGCTTAAATGCAGAAGAGATTAATCAGCGCGACGTGTTCTTTGAGTCGCCGCTGGGTGGACGCCTCAAGTTACGCTACCTCCAGGCACCGGCACGTTCCCAATTGGTGTACTACGATCGTCCCGATGTCGCTGGGCCCAAGCTATCCAAATTCAACAAGATCGAAGTCGACGAACCTGACGTTCTCGAGAAGATACTAAGCCAGTCAAACGGAGCACTCGGTGTGCTGGCCAAGAAGCGACATCTCTTCCTATACGGCCAGACGCGCATTCATCTAGATGAGGTCAAGGATCTGGGCTATTTCATGGAGTTCGAGGTGTGCCTGAAGCCGGAGCAAACGCTGGACGAAGGTCAAGTTATAGCAGAGGAGCTGCGGCGGGAGTTTGGCATCGAGGAGAAGGATCTAATGACTGGCTCGTACTTTGATGAGCTTGTTAAGAGGAAAAAGGAGATAAGTTCTTGAAGGATCAACAGCTAAAATGTACAATGTTGAGCTTACATACAAACAATACTAACTACGATCAAATCCAAGCTACAAGCTGTAATATAAACCATCTTAAAGAGAGAGCTTTTGTCACTGGTCTTAGTTCACAAGTCCATTAAAAACAATATATTAACTCAGTTACACTAGTTTAATTGATTTTATTTCGTGAGTTGTTGCAAAAACACAAAGTCAACTTCAAGTCTGGCAATGGATATTTACAAAATCACTTCCGTTGACTTAATCTACATAGTTTCCTGGTTGTTTTTGTTGACATGAGCATAACTTTAAACTCAAAAATAAGTTATACAAGTATAAATGCAAAAATGTTTAAAACGATGAACACAAAAAGGAGTCTGAGGTGTGGGAACAAGGTAATGATCAAGGCGTCTCATTTGTTAACTGTTAAACTAATGCCTAAAATGCTTACGAACTAGGACTGAGGATTACACAGGGCGACGAATTGAGCCTTAAGGTTCTCGAATATAAAGCGAAGGTAGCTTCCAGCTAACCTAAACCTTGCCTTCCTTTCCATTCCATCTTTGGGTTCAGTTTTGCTTGGAGCGGCAGAAATTCGTAAATTAATTTTGGCTTGGTTAAAGTCATGTTTGTGTGAATTATATGGCGCTTAAAGCTACGAGCTACGGGAAGAGTATGGTGTGGCTGGGAGGAGAGATCTCACTCTCTCTTTAGCAGTAGGAGCCAATCAGGCTGATGGAGAGCGTTTCGGAGATGGGATCCGGCGCAGAGATCGGTTTCCAGTACAACCAATTGTAACTGACTGTAAAAGACAACAGGGATTAGATTAGATTAGATATAGGAAAAATCCAATATACCAATTGAAAAACGATACTCACGCACATAGGACTGAGTGAGCCGCAGGGACAAGGTGCGACAGCGGTGCCGGCACTCGCTGGTGGGCCGTAGGATAATGAATCTGGTGCCCACCGCCTGATGGACATAGACATTTGGACATTCCGTCTCCGGCAGGGTGTAGGCCGGCGCCTGGGCAGTATCAATGGCAATATACCGTTCCAGGGCCACGCCCATGCTGGGCAAACGCGTTGGCCGGGCGAAAATCGGCCGAAGAAGGCGGGCGGGCAGCATGCGATTACAGCGCCATAGATTATGCGCCTGCTGCGTCCATGTGGGCGGTGCACTGCTATTGAACTGTCCAAACAGATCCTCTAGATTGTGCACACCCTGGTTGGTGGAATGCACCCGGTAGGCATCGCGCTGGAAGATCTTGTGATTGCTCGCATAGATGTTGTAAAAGTCCCCAAGATCGATAGCCTCCTGCTGGCTGCGGAAGGCATATGGAACGGCACTCTCAACACCGCTGGGAAGCTGGAGCTCCTCTCCTTCCAGCCACACGTTTTCGACACTGGCACAGGGGCCGCAGCTGAGGTCTTCCACCTGGAAGAAGGGGTTGCCCATCAGGCAGGACTCGTCGTATAGCTCCGTGAGCTGGGGGAAGCGCTGGATTAGGGGCATGGTCATGCGGCGCCACATGCGCATGCCCGGATACACCATGGATTGGACGACGCGCTCCTGATGGCCACCAGGACTGGTCGTCTCATACCGATAGGCGGCCACGCACAGCGACACCAGCGTTAGATAGAATAGCCAGCAGAGGATTTGACGCCGCCGGTCAAGCAGATGATGCAGCACCTCCAGCTTCAGATAGGCCATTAGTGGTGCCGGTGGCATTACGGGTGTGATGCCCCCCTGCCAGTTGCGGTGGCGAAAATATTGGAACAGCACATAGTTGTCGAAGCTCACCGAGCGCACCTCGCAGCGCGTTTCCGCCAGGCGGCGTAGCTGACGCACTGCGCCTGCATAGCGCTGCAGCAGCTGCTGGCGGCTCAGCTGCACAAAGTTCAAGTCCACGTCCAGGTCGTAGTTATCCATGTCCTCGCCTTCTCTCTCCGCTCTCTCCTTGATAGCGCTTCCGCTGTTTGCTTGTTTGTTTTTTTGTTTTCGTTGTTGCTGTTGTTTTTTTGTTTCGCTCGTTCGATTTCACTGCATTGTTTTTGGTTTCGTTGTTCTTGTTCGTTTTGTTTGGCCTTTCCTCGTGGAAGATTGTGTTCTTGGTTTTGCCGCGGCTCTTCCTACGCTTTAGGAGTCGCCTTTTCACCGCCGATTTTCTGCACAAAGCCACATAATTATTTTATGTTTGGTTTCGCAAATAAAAAAAAAAAACAAAAGAAAAACAACAGTGAATTTTTAGATATCGATTACGAACCTGATTGACCGAATAGCGTTATCGTTATCAGGCGTAGGTGGCGGCTGCGGCGGAATGCGTGGTCCTCACCAGTCGTCCGGAACGTCGAAATCCAAATTCAAATTAAATAATTTATAAATTTGATAAACAAATTGTAGAACAACAATGAAAAAGAAAATTGTAAACGTAATACTCATTTTAAAAACCAAACGGTCAGAGAGATCTTTCAGTTAACTTTTTAGCTTTTGATTGCTTTCTGAAGGCAAACTTTGGTATAGTTCCAAAGGTATACAATGTTTCCGATGTATTCTCTTGATTTTTTTCTTCTATATGTTATGTTATAATTTTATGTTATTTTTGTGCTTAACTTTATATGGAGATTAAGAAGTTTTTGTATTTGTTTACCCTTGTCCGATACATCGATTTCGGAACATATGACTTGTCCGATACATCGATTGCGGAATAAATGAATTGTCCAATACATCGATTGCTAAATAAATGGTTTTTTAGATATATCGATTGCGGAATAATTGGTTTGTTCAATACATCGATTGCTTCATAAATAGTTTGATCGATACATCGACTGCGGAAGAAATGTTTTGTCAGATACATCGATTGCGGAATACATGACATGTTACTTATATCGATTGCTTAATAACTAGTTTGATCAATACATCGATTGCGAAATAAATGATTTGTTAGATACATCGATGGCGGAATAATCGATTACCTGAAGCGAAACCGATAGACCCCAAGGTTAGTCGATTGCAGTGTTGTTTACTGTTTACAATTCTCTTTGTTTTCGTGTCTGTGATAAGAGTGAAAAAGAAGTCGAAAGAAGAATAATGGATAATAAAATTGTCAAATAAGAACAATAGAAAGCAACGATGTCCAGCTACGAGCAACTACTGAAGGTGGAGGGCGCGGCCAGCCATGGAAGGAATGCAAACAGATTCCCCTGGCGGACTCTGATCGGTTGGCTTCTGTTTTTGTCGCTTTTGGCGGGCTTCTTTTTGGCTCTGGGATACCAGTACGTGCTAAGAGTGACACCACTAGCAACCGCGGAGTTGGAGCAACGTCTGGTTTGTTACTACGTCAGTGACGAGACCCACCAACTTAGCCTGCTGGAAGTGCCCGGCGATTTGTGCACGCACATCAACATTGGCCCCGCCAGCCTGGATAATGCCACGATTGTGCTGCCTCCCTCGTTGGTCCAGGTGCTCCGTAATGATAGTCCCCAGTTCAGGAAGTCCCATCCGCAAGTTCATTTGCTGCTCTGGATCGGTGGAGCGGACAGTGGCCGGCAGTTTGCCCTGATGGTGGCGAATCATGCAATGCGTAAGGTGTTCCTGCGTTCGCTCCGCGAAATACTTCGCACATATCCCAGTTTGGATGGCATCGACCTCGATTGGGAGTTCCCCAGTGCCTACGACAGGGAGCGAATGCATCTGTCGCAGCTGCTCTACGAGATACGCACGGAATGGCGACGGGAGAAGCGGGAACGGGATATACTCTCGCTGGCAGTGGCCGCACCGGAAGGCATTGCCCTGTATGCCTACGATATGCGGGAACTGAATCTATATGCGGATTATGTGAACCTGATGGCCTATGACTTTCATTTTTACCGAAAGGACACACCATTTACGGGTCTGAATGCTCCACTGTATGCCCATGCGAGTGATCGCTCCCTGATGGCCACGTTTAATATTAATTATACGGTGCAGTGGTGGCTCAAGAGCGGCCTGGAGCCGCATCGTCTGGTGGTGGGCCTGCCCACCTACGGCCACTCCTTCACGTGAGTCCTTGACCTAGCTTCTTGCAGATCTTCCGAATTCAAACTAATTCCATGACATTTTGCAGACTGGTGAACCCGCTGAACCACCGGATTGGAGCACCTGCCTCGGGTTTTGGTCAGTGCGGCCAACTGGGCTTCACCACGCTCTCTGAGACGTGCGAATGTGCCGCCAAATACATCAAACCCAACTATATGTACGATCCCGAGACCTGTTCGCCTTACCTGAGCGCCCTGCAAGAATGGATTTCGTATGAGAATCGCACGAGCATCGAATGCAAGGCCAGCTATGTGAAATCCCTGAAGCTGGGCGGTGTTATGGTCTTCTCTTTGAACACCGATGATCTCAAGAACGCGTGTCAGGATCAGCGTGAATCCAGAAACCCTGAGAAGCCTGTATTTCCACTCATACAGGCGGTTAGGGAGATTCTAAGAGGGAACGCTTAGGAGACTTTAGTATGAGGGATTTTAGCAAAGATCAACATAATAATACTGTATAATAGATGCATATTTTAACGTGCAGATAAATCAGTATTCTGTTCTGATATATCGAACTGTGCCAAAGAAGATATTCAGCTTGGTTTCAAATAGTTTTAAGGACATTTTAAAATATTTGGTAGAAATGTATTGGTATTCAAAATGTCGCTTAAATGTCAATGTTTTAAACATCAATATTCCAATTTTATCAAGCATTTTTGTTATAACTTGTTTTAAATATGGGTAAAAAGGCTAATAAACGATCAATATTAATTTGAAATTTCAATATATTGAAACTGTATCACAAAGAAATCAATAAAAAGAGGCAACCGCTTTTGTACATAGTCATAGACCATAGCTTTATATATTATGGGTAGGTATTATGTTTATATATATGTATATATATATATATGTGTAAGTTTAAGATAAATTATCACAATCTATGAATAGTTCAATAATAATAACTAGATAGTGTCGCAAATCATAGATATTTATACTAAGTCGCATTTACATGGGATATTTGTGGGAATGGGAACTGCTACGATGGCCACGTTGCACGACGACGTAGACATGGCAGCGAGACAACAAGCCGGCGCTCCAGCGACAATCATGTCTGCTTCGGTATGAGTTGCAGATTCGGCGGCGGTGCTGCAAGCAATTCATCAATCTGCAGCTTATAGGCGGCCTTCAGCTCCGTGAGATCTAGCTCCAGCTCATCGGTGCGCTCCACCTTCTCGCCATACATCTGCAGCAGGGCATCGTAGCGATGCTGCAGATCCACGTATTCCGTCTGCATCTCCTCAAACTCCACGACTTTCTCCTTAAACTGCAACAGGTGGGAACCGGATTAATGGTAATAAATGTTATAAATCGAAACTCTAACTCACTGTCTCCAATTCAAAGGTAACATTGGATATCTCGCCGTCCAGGACATCGCGTTCGGCTCGCAGGCGCGACAATTCCCACTGCATATGGGTTAGCTCGCCGTCACGTTGCTTCAGCAGAGCCTGCAAGTTTTCCAGCGTCGAGGTGGTAGTGTTGGCCGCTAGAAAATTGAGATGAACGCCCTGAATAATGCCCGATGGCTGGCGGCCCGAATTGGAAGCGCAATCAAGATCATCCTAAGGTAAGATAAGAGTAAATAATTATATATATTTAATGTGTTCTAGGAGGTCAATCTTCTCTTACCGCCTGCCAGTCTATTATGTGTCCCAGGGCCTCCTCCTCATCATCCACCAGGCTCATCGGTGGCGAGGAACGAACTGCCCCTGGCTGGGCTTTTGTGGTCATGTGTGGCTGTTGCTGTTGTTGCATCCTTCCGGCCATCTCTACGGCTTCCACGGTGAGCAAACTACTGTGGGGCTTCAGTTGCTTATGGTGATCCGCCTCCGCCTTCGCCAGCTGTTGCTGCTGCTTACATAGTTGCTCCAGTTCAGCTATGGTTTTTGTCTGCTGTTGAATTTTCTCCTCCAAAGAGTTGATTTGCCTAGGTGAAAGAGGGAAGCAATTAAGAAGAGGAACAAAAAGCCACATTAAAATACTCACTTCTTAAAATCATTGTCCTTGCCGGTGGCATTGGCCTCCAGCTGGCGCAACTCCCTCTGCCGCGTTGTGGCCTCCAGCAGGGCACTCGAGAGCTTCTCCTCGACCTGAGCGCTACGGGTGCTTAGCAAGGCATACTTCTCCTCCTGGACCGTATTCAAGTGCGTTAGGGAACGAATCTGCACCTCGGCAGCGTCCAGTTTTTGGAGCAGCTGCTGTTCCTCGCGATTCCAGCCCGCCGAACGTTGGTCCAGCGTACGCTGCAGGGACTCTATTTGTCGTATAAGTGGGCTTGTGGTGGCACTAAGCTCCTGGGTGGAGCTCTCTGCCCGCAGTTCGGCCGCTTCCAGGCGGCAGACTAGTTGTCGGTTCTCCTCGCGCAGCTGTTGCTCCCGCCGCACCAGATTGTGCTCGGCAAGACGGAGCTTCTCACGTAAATCGGAGTTCTGCTGGACGAACTCATCGTGCTCGGCTCGCATGCGTTCGTGCTTGAGGCGTGCCTGCTTCTGGATGTCTGACTCGAGGCTATCGAATTTGATTTGAAGAGCGGCCAGCTGTGACTGCAAGTCCTTGATACGACCACGTCCCTCGGCGTAGTCATCGTCCGCCCGTCGTTTCTCGGCCGTCATCCGGCACACGGCCTCGATCTGGGTGCGCTCCATCTCCTCCTTGGCGGCCAGTGAACGCTTCAGTCGCTCCGATTCGCTGGACAACAGCGAGATCTGCTCACCGTTCTTCTTAAGCAGCGTATCCGAGGTCTTCTCCTTGGCCCGCAGCTTCTTAATGATCGTTGACTGCTGGAGTATCTCTTTGGAGAGCTTCTCCCCCTCCGATTGAAGGCCGGCTATCATCTCGTTGCATTCGGTTAGCTCATCCCTGGGTATCTTGTTCTGGAGTTCATCGCGCAGGCTCTTGATTTGAATGCGCAGAGCATCACGCTCCCGGATACTGGCCTGGAACTTCTTCTCCAGAGCAGACAGACGCTGCACAGCATCATCGGCGGCATCGGGACTGTTGGCACTGTTGGCGGCCGCCTCGATGCGGGCACGTAGCTCCTGATTGCGCTCCAGGAGTTCGGCATTCTGTCGCTCCGACTGCAGCAGACGCTGTTCGCGGGCCTCGATCACCTGGTTCAGTTCGCTGATGCGGTGCACCAGCTTGTCCAGCTCCGATTGCGAGTCCTCCGACAGCAGCGAGATCTCTGAGGGTTCGCGATGATGGCCCTTGGGCTTTAAAGCGCTGCCAGAGCAACCAACGCCGCCAGCAGCCGCCGCCTTGCCTGCCGCTGCCAGCTCCTTGAACTTTTGTGGACTCGTTCGTGTTGTGGTGCTGTTGGTGCTGGAGTCACCGTTCGGATTTGAGATGATCTCGATGTCTGACGATGTGGATGAATAGCTTTGGTCCACCATCATCTCTGGCTTGGCATTGGGGCTGGTGGTCAAGTGTGACTTGCCCGAGGTTGAGGCACCCTTGTGGCTCAGCTGCATCATCTGAATGTCCTCGAAGCTCTGCGTGGAATCGGAATCGGCGCCCCCGGCAGCCACATTGCCAGCTGCCTGGGTGTCGCTGAATACCAAGGCCTTCATCGTCTTGGTGGAGTCTGTGGGGGGAAAAAGATATTACGGATATAGTTGTGAATATAAGTATATTATTTTCTAAAAAAATAATAGAAACTTGTGAATATCCTCATCCCACATTACTGCCTCTACTGACCCTCCACAGACTCATCGTCCAAAAGGGTTTCCAGACTAATTGTTTTAGGAAGACTTCGGGAGCAAGGAAACAAATTTAAAAACCTATTGAAGAACCTGGGAATAGTGGATAGGAAAATAATATCCAGTTTGTTGATTTTTCCGGATATTTACAGACTGACAAATTAAACAAAGCTTTCTACAAAGAACAAGTTAAACATACTGATACTTCACGATAAATAATACATATTTCCCCTCGTTTTTTGTATAGTAAACCCACCGTTAAGATGATCTTCCATATGCCGCTCTAACTGTGTGCCCTCGTCCTCATCCTCCTCATCATCATCTTCGTCGTCCTCGCCATCGCCTTCGGCATTATCCGAGGTATCGTTGCTGGCTATGATCACAATGCTGTCGGGCAGCGAGGGCTCCGTGTCCGGTGATAGCTCCATTTCCATCTCCAGCTCACTGGCCGTGGTCGCCGTGATGAGTTCCAGTGAAGATTCCGAATGACGTTTGTTGCCGGCAGAAATGGAGGCGGAAACAGAAGCGGAGACGGAGGCAGATACCTCCTCTACGGGTGATGTGGGCGAGGAGAGCAGGTCCACCGAATCCGAGGTGGCCGACTGACGCTTGGCGTACGGTGTCGATGTGTTTGTGGTGGTCGTGGTGTTTGCAGGATCGCTGGCCCTGGGCGGAATGGTGACCATTTCGTTGGCATGCGGATTGTCAAAGAATGTGGGCGTGTCGCCGGCGGCGGGGGTGGCAGGAACCGAGGAACTAGAGGAGGATGTGCCTGCCACTGGTCCTGCTCCGTCGCTCTCCTTAAGCTGGCCACTGCTGGTGCTAGCGGCTCCTTTGTCCGCTTTATCTGTGATGGCCGCTGCCTTGCTGTCATCGTCCTGGATGTCCAGTGCCTCGATCAGCACCGTTTTGGCCTTCTCGAACCAGCTCATGGCGGCGAACAACAAACACAACAACCACAAATATCAATACTGTTTACACCCCCGCTGCTGCTGACGTCGTCGCAGTTGGCTGCTGCAGCTCCACTCTACACACGCTGATGTTAACTGTAAATAATGCACGAAAATACTATTCTGTATGTGTGTGAGGTGTGTGCGTATCGATATCAGCTCAAGCAGCGCACAGCTGGTTTTTGGCCAACCGATAGCCGATAGGCGGGGTCGATATACGATATTCGGCTGTCATCGCTGGGCCGGGCCATCTCTATTTGATAAAATTAATACAAAGAGTACACATAGTACACATAAAAACGAAACGAAAACGAAACGAGAAAAACACACACGGCAGAGGGGAAAACGGTCATTTAAATTGAGAGAGTGTAATCAAGGCAGATTGGTTGGCGGTCCCGGTACCCGTTGTCTCCGTCGTCGGTGTCGTTGTCGTCACACCTTTGGATTTTCGTGCGAGCGCAGAGCGCCAGCACAATAAACACATCGAGAGAGAGACAGGCACAGAGGCAGAGAGTAGGCGCTAGCATTACAATTGGAATTGGAGTTTGGGCATCGAAATATATATAAAAAAAATAGACGGCAGCAGTGGCAGTAGCAGAAACACCAGCAACAATAACAAACCAATCAAGAACTACGCACCGCAGCGTACCCGTGCCCCCTGCGTATCCCCCTCCTTCTCCTCCTTAGCCGCAGCCGAACCGAACCCGGCCACCCCCCTGCACACGCACACACACACTGGCCCCCTCCTTTGGCAGCACAGAACACACACACACACAATCACACGCACACACACACACTCTGAGAGACCCCAGCACTCAGCACAGTTATCATCCGAGCGACAAACCGACCGCATTTATCATCCGCACATCACACACACGGCTGGCTATTGTTGTCTGCTCCCTATCGTTACGATTGCACGCGAAGAAGGAGCAGACAAAGAGGAGCAAAAGCAACAGAGCAAGGGCAGTCAGGAGCAAGAGCACACAAAGGAAGTGCAGCAGCAGCAGCAGCAGCAGCAGCAACGGCAGCGGCAGCAAGGAGCAAGTAGCAGCGGCAGGCAGCAAGCAGCATTCGCACAAAGAAAAGCTCAACATAAAGATCCTAGCAAGCAGCCAAAGCAGCAGCAGATCACACCGAGAGAGACTGAGCCAGCGGCGTCAGCTCTATGGGTCAGAAGGCGAGCACACCGGCGACCAGTGGCCAACAGAGCCCACGCTCCAGGACCTTCTCCAGCAGCTCAACGGGAGCGGCAGATCAAGCACCTAATGCCGCCGGCGTTGGCCAGAATCGCAGCAGCAACGCTGTTCATGCCTCGGCAACCGGCGGCGAAGCCGGGCAAGGATTTAATCTGCTGCGCACATTGCCCGGCCTGCAGGTGTATCACAACAATAGCAACAGCAACAGTAGCCAGAACTCCACGTCCATAGATCGTCAGCGGGCGCGCAGCCTTAGCTCCGTGCCAGATATCCAACAGCAGCAGCAGGCCGCGCAACAGCAGCAACAGGGCTCGCTTACCTCCTCCGGTAGTAGTCCGCATGCCGTGCACAGCCATGGGGGGCATCATCCGCATGCCGCTGTGTCGGTGACCGTGTCGGCGAATGCCAACAACGGTGGCGGAGGCGGCGGAAGCTTCCCAGCGACAGCGGCGGCAGGGAACAATAATGGCAGTGCCACACAATCCTACATGCAGCAGCGTCGCACTTTGGGAGACTCCATACGGGTGAGTAAGCGTGATCCAGGAAAGTTTTGACTGGGTCAAAGGGTGCTTAAGGGTTTCCTTAGCCTTGAAACTTGTCGAAAAGATTAACAAATTTGTAAAATTGGTTAACAATTACTGGAATAAGTAGAAAATGTATCTTTGCGTTGATGTTTTAAGGCAGAGTTCTTTATATTTCCTGTAATAACTTGAGACACTTGCTGCAGATTTGATTAGTTTACCTCTTTCTATATATTTAAAGCATATTTCTAAACAATTTTAATTAATTTTCTATGAATTTCCCCATCTAGGATATAACAATGACCGGTGGCAATATCGCTGAGAGCATCGCCCTGGCCGCCTCCGCCACGTCTGCCAATGGGATCGGTCGTGTTTACACAGCCACCTCACTTCCATCGCACATTTGGTCCTTCAATGGTAAGTATTTTCCTGGTACTGCCACCATTATCGTCTTTGTTGCATTCCCGGAATAATTGCAGGTATCAAGTGCCCCGTGTGCAATAAGTTTGTGTTGCCGGACGACATTGAATGCCATTTAGTCATGTGCCTAACGAAACCACGACTCTCATATAACGGTATGCGGCAACGGGACCCGGGATTCCCCCCATTATTATTTACTTTTAGTCTATTTACATTTAATATTTTTACCCGCACATTCCAGAGGATGTACTGTCGGACGCCAAGGGCGAGTGCGTCATTTGCCTTGAAGACCTGAGTCCGGGGGACACCATCGCTCGTCTGCCATGCCTCTGCATATATCACAAAGGGTGAGTCCTAGACCAGGTTTAGGTTTGGATTTAGGCCCTTTCGGAGAGGGAACTGAGTACTTAAATTGAAAGTTTGATATAAAACATTGCCTTAGTTGTGATTTTAATGGTAACATGAAAATTAGGAACCCAAATAACGATAAACATCAAAGTTAATTTACTAAAAATTAGCACAAACTAGAATTTTATTAATAAACATGTAATTTGAGATATTTGTATACCTTTTCAAGGTATATTTATTTTAGTCAGAAGCTTGCAATGCTGTGAAGGAGTCATTTTCGACCCTATAAATCATATATATTCTTGATCAGCATCAAAAGGCGAATCTTTGTAGCTTTATTCGGTCGAAATTTTTTTATTTCAATAACTTTCCATTTTTTTAAAAAAAGCAAAGGGGTTACATCGTTAAAATTTCCAAAAATCGGGCAAAAATTTACATTTTTAATGGAGTATGCAGTTTTATTAACCTGCTAAAAACTAACATAGGATTGCCTTCCGAATTGAAATTAAAGCATTTTTGGCTTAGTTATGCGTATTTTTAACTTAAAGCTTATCAGGTTCTTATGTAGGTTTGAGTAGGTTGGAACACTTTCTTACAAATCGTATTTAAAAGACTTACAAGCTTACGTGTTAGTCCTTCTGGGATCATTTTTTATTAATTAATAATAATATACATTTGACTTATTTCTTGGCCTTCACTCTATATTCATTAACTAGGTATTTTATGTTTATTTATCCAGATGCATCGACCGTTGGTTTGAGGTGAATCGCTCCTGTCCTGAGCATCCTGGAGATTAGTAATCCTCGCCAGGTAAGAGGAACCCTGAGCTAGAGTAATTATGCTTCCAGCTTTTGCTGATACTTGATTATAATGCGCATTTTAATTTTCTGATTGCAGAGCTCGCCGCCGCGTTTGTTTGTGTTGTGCGTTATGCAAGAGCGAGGAGTGGAAATTGAAATAAAAATGGAGCTGACCAGCAGCTGGACGAGATGAGGAGAGGTGTTGGGTGGGAGGAACGGAACGAAACGTAACGGTAGGGAGCGGGGGCTATACCGGACCCAGAACACAAATACTTAGCAAGTATGTATTTCCAAATACTAAATCGTAAAAGAAATGGAAAAGCTAGTTCATTCTAATTGCTCTCTAATTCTTAAACAACATGATTTCTGGTTAATTTCCCTGGATTTTAATCTCGGAATAAAAGTGTTCTCGAGCTTTTCCGTTTGTTTTTGTTAACAAATTAATATCGGTTTACTTCCTTTCCTTTTCCTATGCTATGGCTCATTAACTAAATGTGTATTTTTCAGCTAAGAAACACCCGCCGCCGTCACATCCGCCTTTGGAGACGCAGCTGGATTAGGATAACAGAACAGAGAGATGGATTCGAGAATATAGAAAGAAAATTAGGGAGTATGGAGGATGCAGAGAAAAGCTATGGCTATGCTCCAAAAGCAAATGCCTAGAAAGAGTGTTAGATCGAAGCATCATCGATCATATTTCGACCCTACCGACCGATCCACTGCTACTAATGACGATGGCAACCAAACACAACACAAAAATCAAGTAAAAACCAACTTCATTTACAATGCCAAACTGGCAGGAACACAAAAACAAAAAAAAACAATTAATAAATTATTAAAAAAAAAAAACAAAACAACAACCAACCCACAACAAACTTCAAAACTACAAACCAGAGAAGCTGAAGGAGGGATGACGACGGGAGAGCAGGAGCAGAGGAGCTGGGAAATGTGTAAAGCGAAGTAACCAACCAACCAACAAAAGAATGTCAACCAATGTGATGTTAAATTTTACATTTTGTACTATGGATAATGATGTAATTGTAATTGTAACTATATTTGTAACTGTATATGTATATTGTATGTATTTATTATTTTAAAAACAGGACTAAAAACTAAAATCTAGGATAAACACAAAACAAAAGGCAAGCAAACACCCCACACACACAAACACACACGCCCACACACACAAAATAATAACAATAAGAAAGAGAAATACTATTAATAATTATGCTAAATTAGAAACAAAAAACGAAAAAGCAAAGCAACCAAAAAAAAAAGAAGCAAAGCATGCAACAAATTGTAACGAAAGAGTAACGAGTAGCGACAAAATTTCGGTGTGTATTTTAACGTTTTTTTTTGTTTAACAAAATGTCTAGCACTCGCTCAATTCGATGAGCAACGAGTAAATTTCGGTGTATATTTTAACGTTTTCCCGCACTCGCACTCACTCAATTCAATGCCCAGTGCCCCAGTGTGTTTATGAATTAGTTTATATCTAGTTATGCATATGTTTTAAATTAATGTAATTCCCCCTTTTTATATAGCCCCTTGTTATCAACATTTTGTTTGTGTTTTTTGTTTAACAAAAGTGGAGAGAAAAGTTTGTAAAATTGACAAATGCAAATGGAGAAAAATATTTTAAATATTCTTTTCGAGATTTGTCAATTTGTGAGAAGTTCTGGTCAGAAAATCCAATGGTATGTTTTTATTCTGTTGAGAGAGATAGTGAGAGAGAGAGAGAGCTTCATGGCGGAACAGCGATCCTGTCCAGGACAGCGAGAATCCTGATCCGCCAATATAGCCATATCCGATAGTCGAGCGCCTGTGCGCGATCATTATAATTACTACTGTATCTGTATCTGTATATTTACCATCATTTATGTATACTATTTCTATTTGTTTATCCTTGCTCATCGATGATTATGATATGTATATGTATAAGCCGGATCGGATCGAACGATCCGGAACAAAAGTTTCCTTAGCAACGGGGGTACATATTTTGTAAATGAAGATATAACTTTAAATGTACTGTACAGATTATACAACACACCACGACGCAAGCATGCATATATAACGATTTGTATATGTATGTTATATATATACAACAACAAAAAATATATATATATATATTGAGATAAATTGTAACTGTATAACTATAGCGTTGCCTAATTGAGCGATCGAAGGATACACACAGACACACACAAACAACAACTGATTTCAATTCGAAACTAAAAATAAAAGCCAAGAAAAGTGCGACAACAATTTTCTACATTGTTTATATTTCGATTTTGTATTTGTTGTTCTTTATTTTAGTTTTTGTATCCAAAAATTGTCGCAAAATTGGTGTAACTGTAATCGAAGAAGTAAACAAGAAATATTTGAAACTTTTATAACCAACCAAAGCGGCGAATAGAGCAAAGAGAATAAGAAACCAGACGTTTTAGCATAACGCTGGCAAAATGTAACGAGTAACGAGTAAAATGGAGGCGAAACGAGATGAAACCTTTAGAAAATAAACGAGTGATTCTATATACCACACACAGTAGTTTTCTATATTATTTTGTTTAAAAAAATTGTTTATCTTTCAGCAAAAATTGAATTTGAAAAACAACTTAAAAATTAACAAGAAAGAATCCAGGCTTCAGAACCCTAAGTTTATATATCCTTGAAGTTTTCATTTGAAATATAGGTTTGCATTGGATATCGATCATAAGTAAGCTTAAAATATTCGCATTATTTAAATCTATATTAATTTTTTTTTATATGACCATTTTTTCTAAAAAGCAAAGTTTAAAAAAACGCATAACTCCGCCAAAAATGCATTAATTTTAATTTGGAAAGCTGTTTTATGCTAATTTTTACTAGGTTTATAAATCTGCATACTTAATTTTAAATTTTAAAACATTTTAATTTTGGCCGATTTTTGAAAATTTTAATGATGTAACCCCTTTGCTTTTTTTCAAAAAATTAAATTTTTTTTTTTTGCCTAAGATGTCTAGATCGACTCTCCTGTTAATGCTGATCAAGAATATATATGATTTATAGGGTCGGAAATGAGTCCTTCATTAAGTTTTTTGCTTCTGACTAAAATTTAATACCTACATTTACAATCATATTTTGGAAAAGGATTTTAGGATTTTATACTTCTTTTGTTTTGACTTGATGTGAGTTGATATCAAGATTTTGAATACTTACCTTAATTAGGAAAGGAAACTCAAGCTGGCCCATCGTGCAGGGCAGCTACTTCCCTCCCTAATCTTTAATAGATCTTTTCCATTTCAGATCTATTTCCACCACACCTGTAACGAGTAGATTCAAAATACAATTAAAAAAACGTTTTGTTTTTGTATTTCAGCATTGCGTTTATTCATTGAAGTAACTAAAAACGAGAACAGGGATCAGAGCTGGCTTAAAACACTACTGCTTTGTCCAGCTCCAAACTGGAGACCTGGAATCGCGTCCACCACACATCGATTATATATTGGAAGGAAGGCGGGGATAAAAGGTGTTACATATATATACATATGCATATACCTATGTAAACGGTAGGTTTAATATGGCTACTCGGATTAATTTGGTAACACAATAATCGGCTTAAAAGTTAACATTGCTTTTTGTTGGATTTTTAACTTAACTAAAAAAAAGAAGGTGAGGTTAGGGGTTATGGGAGGATTGGAACAACTTTGGCTTAAAACAAAAACTACATTACGAACAAAACAGAAAATAAAAGAGGAAAATAAGATAATCTTGAGCCCGGAGGAGCCGGACATAACAATGTTGAAACCATGAAACCCGCTGTCCATTTTTCGATATCTTTGAAAATAGATCCGGGATAGAAGATCCTTCAGCTGCCGGCGGATCGTGCCGATCCTGTGCATTCTATCTCTCTCTCTCTCTCTCTCTCTTTCTCCGGAGTGCGGCTTGTGTTTCGTCATCATTTCGTTGTCCGTCTTCCGTCGTCGTCTAACGCTTAAGCAACTACTCGTGGTTTGGGAGGAGGTGGCGGCGACACTCGCTAGTGTTCCGCCAAGGCCTTTTTTTCCGGAGGGCAGCGACTGCTAGCCCGTACCGAGACCGAGACCGAGACCGCGACCAAAGGAGATCCTAATTGCCCCCAAATTGTTGATGTGATGTCAAAGAAGCCGGATAAATGCGGCCAACCAGTATTGGGCGACCTAGACCCACGGCGTCCAGCCCTCGTATAGGACGGCCAGATTATCCGGATTGATGGCCTCGCGTATGGCATAGTCCACCTGCTCGGCCACAGTGCTGCGTTGATTGCCATCCGGGTCGCGACCCTCCAGCTTCATGCGTATCTTCTTCCATACGGAGACGCCATAGGCGTTGCGTTTCTGCTCGTGCAGATTGCTGGCACCTGGCAGGGAATAATAATTAACCTCTCAGTCCTGTCAATCGAGGCCCTGTCTTGTGACTCACCCTTGGTCTGCGTGGTGAAGGTCTCGTAGGTGTCCGTTTCACCTACATGCCGCAACTGCTCGTCCATGCTCTTGAAAAACTCGGTAACCTCCTGGGCGGCCATGGCCTGGATGAGCTGGAGCTGCTGTCGCCAGCCCTGAAGCATTACCGGGTGCAGGCATCTCCTTTCGGCGCACATATCCTTACGCAGATCCATCAGGCGCTGGAAGAGCGACTGCAATAAACGCTGGCAGTCACGGAGATGCCCGCACAGCAGCTGAAGATCCGAGGGCACAAGTTTGCCCTGTCCCTGCGCCTGGGCCTCGGCACAGAGGCTGCGGACGTGGAAGCGTGGCATCTTTTCCTGCAGGCGCTGGTAAATGATTAAAGATAATTGAGAGAGGAATAGAGGGAGAGAGGGCTCATCCTTACCTGAGTTTCCTTGACCAGCGTGCAGAGGAACCGATGCTTGCCCTGCTGCTCGCACTCCAACGCTGCCATTTCTCGCTGTAACCTGCAAGTCTGCTCCTCAAGCAGCCCTTGTACATTCTCCAGCCAATACGGATCGATGGCGCCCTCGGGATCGAGGAGTTCCACTATGCCCTGCTCCACGGCACTGATCCGTGCACAGCTGGTCTGCCATTGACCGTGAGCGGCCAGCCAATTCTCCAAATGCTCCACCATCTGCTGCCGCTCCGGATTGTCGCCGACCTGCTCTAGCCTTGAGACAGCACCAGCGGCTCCCGTCAGCTGCCGCAGTACTGCCACATGTCCCGCCACTTGCTGGGTGTGCTCCTGCTCGGTCCGAAGGAAACTATCAATGTGATTTCGATTCCAGTTGCTGCGCTGCGACTGCAGGTGACTCAGCTGTGACTCCAGTCCGCCTTGGAGGATCTGCAGCGCTCCCAAATCCTTCTCCAGCTGCTGCCAACCCTCGTTAATGAGCGCCGCCAGCTTCGGGCGGCTGACAATGTGATGGCCGCCGCGCAACTGCTGACCCAGGGCCTCCGAGTAGGCCCAATACTGCGCCGAGGCGGCCAGCGTATGCAGCTCCAGTTGCTGATTGAGCAGGGCCAGCTCCGCCTGCTCCTGCTGCTGGGCGCCGTCCGATTGCAGCGAGATGAACAGGCTCTCGCAGAGGTGATCCGCCTGCGTGGCATCTCCCAGTGAACTGCAATTCGTCGTGGGAGGCTGACACTGTGGACCCATCGAGATGTAGAAATTGCGGGCCAACAGAGGCAGTAATCCAGCCAAACAATCCGATTGGAGATTGTGAATGAGTCCCAGCATAGGACGCGCCATCTCCCGGACATCACAGGTGCGACTGATCTCCAGGGTCTCGCTGATCAGGCCAAAGAAGTACTCGTCCTCCAGCTCCATGCGATTTTTGAACAGACCCGAGGCCTAGAGGGGTAAGAAAACTTGACATAATGATCTATATGTTAATTGTATTACTTACCAGTAGCTGCTGCTGGGCCTGCACCTCCTTCACATCCTCCAGCAACACTTTGATGCTGCGCATCAGGGTATTCAATGCTGAGGCAGCCTGCTGGAACTGCTCGAAAGCGGGCTGCAGGGAGAGCATGAAGCGACGCTCCGCTGGCAGCTCCTCCGTTGGCTGATCTCGCTCCAGGGTGGCCTCAAAGTACAACTGCCCCAGGCTGACGGCACTCAGGTGACACATGGCACTCAACTGACCCAGATTGGGTTGCAGCAACAGCAGTCGATAGATGCTGGCTGGGAGGTCGTACTCAAAGAACTGTTTAAGGTTCAACAAAGCGGTCAGCAAGGTCTCCACTTGTCCCAGATACAGGTCCTCCTGCATTGCCACCAGCACGCCCTGGCACATCGAGCGCACCAAGTGGATGAAGTGCAGCTGATGGTGTAGCAGCTCTTCATTCTCGGCAGCCAAGGCCGCCTGTTCGTAGGCTCCGAAAGCTGCTCCAGCTCGGTCCAGGGTCCGAACCAGGCTGCCCTTGAGCAGCAGCAGGCTGCAGCCGCTTTGACCAATCGCTGCGAGCAGAACGGCTGTGGTCGGACCGAGGGTTATGGCCTGCTTGGCGGCATAGCGTTGCGTTGCCTCCTGCAGCTGGCAGGTGTGTTGCAGCCATGCGGATTCCAAGGCTTCCGCCACGCCCAGCACATCCGCGGTGCAAATTATGGAGCTGGAAGATGAGTTGGGATCACTGGCCGTGTCCGAAGATCCTCCGTTTTGGATATACGCTCCATAGCTGTCGTGGAAGCGAACGAACAGATTCTGGCGGTGGCTCTGTTCCGGGAAGAAGTTCATCACTGCTGCATACTGTTGCAAGTGCTCGGAAGTGTGCAGCGCCGTCCGATCCAGGCAGCTCAGCAGATCCACCAACTGGCCACGCATACCATCGTAGCCGGAGAGCTGCAGGATCTCCGGGAGCGCGGTATCGGTATCGCTGCTTCTTTCCGTCTCCATCTGCAGCTGAAGGAGCTGGGCATGTAGCTCGCCCAGGTGATACGGCTGCAGGCACTGGCCATAGCTGGTGAGGAGGCACTGGACCTGGACATAATCCGCCTGCCGTTCGGCACTGAGCTTGGCCAGCGCCTCCGAGTGTCCGCGACGCACTGCATGGCGCAGGGAGGCCGTGTTGAAGCTGTGACTCTCGATGGCCGTGCCCAGGGATTTGATTTCGGCGATTAGGGCGCTGCGTTGGTTCAGCTCCACCAGCTCCTGTTCGGCGACCAGGCGCTGGGCCTGCACTGCTTGAAGGTTGCCCACTTCCTGGTCCATTTCCTGTAGCTGCATCTGCATCTCCACCCTGGAAATAAGTATGATAAAGTAGGAAGAGGGAATGGATACTCTACTCTTACTGGTTGCAGGCCCAATACTTCTGCAGGTGGGTCATTTTGGTCAGGAAATGCTGCCGCTTGGTATCCCAGTCGTGCGCCTTAATCTTGTTCTTGTCCTTCTTGTAGCCGCCAGCTGCACCTGCACCAGGTGCTCCTCCTGCTGCCTGCTGCTTGGCTCCCAGGGATCGACGCAGGGCCTGGGCATCATCGTTGATGGTCCAGTCCACTAAAGGATCGTATACGAAGGCCTCCAGAAGGGTCAGTAGAGTCTCACGCTCCTTGCGCATCACCTTCAGGACGTACTCGCAGCCTAGACGGAAGGAGCCCTGGAAAAAAGGATAATTTATTATGGGTAAGCAAAGGATGATCAATTTAGACAGTGGAGAGATAATTTAGATATATCAAACGACAATATTTGCAAAATATCTAATGCAGATATGTTTAATTTAACAATATTTAACTATATTTTTATGCATGAATTTACTCTTTTTCTTGGAGAAAAGCCATGGGAGTAGGAAATGCATTTGAAACTTATTTTTAGATTAATTATAAAATTAAAGGAATAAAAAATAATAAATAAACAGAAAAAACATAAGTTTTTTTCAAATAAAAGATGTAAAAACAATATTTTAGCAATGCAAATCTAAACAATATAAGCGAATTAAATGATTTAAATTAAAATTAACAAATTTAATTAATAAAATATGAATATGCCTATATTTCTCTGACTCCCACTCTCTGTGCCTCTCCCTCTCTCTCCCTCATTACCCCTACGGAGCTGCATGCCCCTTACTCTCGCTCTCTCTCTCTGTGCATCTCTAGAGATACCCCTTACGCTCCCGCTCTCAAGTTCTCTGTTCTCTTGCCTCGGAGCCTATAAATAGCGGGCTCTGCCGCCTTGCGCACCTCATTCCGTCGGTGGCGTCTCCAGTGTTAACATCTAGAGTGATAGTGATAGTGCCTGCCCTTCGACCCGAAAAATATGACGTGGCCTATGCACAACATTCGGATGATTTGGATGAGGAAGAAGCTTGACTTGAAGGCACCGGAAATGTAAATCTACAATGACGAACACGGATAGCCACGTGTCCTCCACTGGGGTAAGTCTTACGCATGCCAATTATATTATCTACATATATAGATACTAATTAAGTGATTAGGCCTAAGTCTAGAATCAGCTAGCTATGCATTTATTTACCAATTAATTCCCTTATTAACAGCCTAACTTAAATATACTTTAACTTTACTATTACCTTTACGATAATTTTAAAACTAACCTTGACTTTGGTGATACATTTTATTCAGAGTAGTTACCAATTAGTTCCCTTATTAACAGCCTAACTTAAATACACTTCAACTTTACTATTACCTTTACGATAATTTTAAAACTAACCTTGACTTTGGTGATACTGAGTAGTATAATTTTAATCACAATCTTGAAACTTAGTGAAGGCAATCACTAAATCATATATATTCTTGATCAGCATCAACAGGCGAATCTTATAGCTATATCTCGCCCAAAAATTTTTTTTTATTTAAATTTCCCATTTTTTAAAAAAGCGTAAAAAAAGCCGGCCAAAACTTCATAGTTTAAATAGAGTATGCAGTTTTACTACCCTGCTACAAATTATCATACGCACACTCCCTAAATTGAAATTAATGCATTTTTTGCTTAGTTATGCGTTTTTTAAAACAATGATTTTTTTAATAAATAGGCATAACAATATAGGTAATATCGATTAAAAAATGGTATAACCCCTTCACTCAGAAGCTTAAAAGAAAGTGAAGGAGTCATTTCCGACCCTATAAATCATATATATTCTTGATCAGCACCAACAGGCAAATCTTTCTAGCTATCTTTGGCAGAGATACATTTTTTTTAAATATTCGATTTTTTGAAAAAAGGAAAGGGGTTACATCGTAAAAATATTTAAGAATTAATCAAAAATATGAATTTGTTTACTTTTTAAATTGAGTAGCAGATTTGTTAACCTTATTAAAAGTAGCATAGGACCACTTTCCGAATTAAAATTATTGCATTTTTGGCTTAGTTATGATATTTTCAAAAACGTAAATTTACCAAAAATATTATCATATAAAACTATCGATTTCATATATCTAGAATATATTTTATGTTTTCTTGTAGGTGTACAAAGTCTTAAAAGGCAATGATTGCCAAAAGTCATTGATTAATCAATAAAAAACAACGAACAAAAAATTCAACACACTACTTAAATTAATTTTGTTAAAGTTTTTGTAAGGGATAACATCATGAAACTTGGTGAAAATGCATTAAATTTCTTAATTTATAAATATTAAGGCCCAATATTCTATAATCCTAAAAAAAACAAACACAGAATAGCTTTCAACATTGAGATCAATGCATCTTTGGCTTAGATCGATTTCACATTCGAACCCATAAACCTAACTAACTGCTTAGCTTCCTTCCTTGATTTAATATATTTTTAGTTTCATACATAATGATCATTTGATAAACTAAAACTAGGGTATTTTATTTATTTTAAATTCGAATAAATTAAGCTTAACGATATTTTTGATATTTCGCCGATTGATATAGTAATCACGATAATATTTTCCATATTTAAAATTCACACCAATTTAATATTACGATGTTATTAATATTGCAAATTCCTACACAAAGCTTTATGATATTTTCTATATTTAAATTTTTGATAAATCAATTTTACGATATTTTCTAATGTTTATAAATGAAGCTTAAAGATTAGATTTACTTTTTTCTTGGGGAAAAGAAATGGGAGTAATTAATTATAAAATAAAACAAAAATTAAAATAAAAAAAAAAAAACATAAAAACTGAAGTATTTTTCAAATAAAAGATTTAAAAACAATACTTTAGCAATGCAAATTTAAACATTAAAAGCGTATTAAATGATTTAAATTAAAATTAATAAATTTAATTAATAAAATATGAATATGCCTATATTTTTCTGACTCCCACTCTCTGTGCCTCTCCCTCTCTCTCCCTCATTACCCCTACGGAGCTGCATGCCCCTTACTCTCGCTCTCTCTCTCTGTGCATCTCTAGAGATACCCCTTACGCTCCCGCTCTCAAGTTCTCTGTTCTCTTGCCTCGCAGCCTATAAATAGCGGGCTCTGCCGCCTTGCGCACCTCATTCCGTCGGTGGCGTCTCCAGTGTTAACATCTAGAGTGATAGTGATAGTGCCTGCCCTTCGACCCGAAAAATATGACGTGGCCTATGCACAACATTCGGATGATTTGGATAAAGAAGATGCATGACTTGAAGGCACCGGAAATGTAAATCTACAATGACGAACACGGATAGCCACGTGTCCTCCACTGGGGTAAGTCTTACGCATGCCAATTATATTATCTACATATATAGATACTAATTAAGTGATTAGGCCTAAGTCTAGAATCAGCTAGCTATGCATTTATTTACCAATTAATTCCCTTATTAACAGTCAGTGATTGATTTGGTGATACATTTGCTATATGATTATACGCTTACAGTGTATTATAATTTCCATCACAATCTTGAAACTTAGTGAAGTTAACGTTTCCGACTCTAAAAATCATATATATTCTTGATCAGAATCAACAGGTGAATCTTTCTAGCTATATATTTTTGAAAATCGGCCAAAAATTCAATTTTAAATGGAGTATGCAGTTTTATTAACCTGCTAAAAAATAACATAGGAACGCTTTCCGAATGGAAATTAATGTTTTTTGGGTATGTTATGAGTTTTTTAACTTTGATATTAGGAGAAAATAATCATATTTTAATTTTAGTTATAATTCATTTCCGATTCGATCCTATAATTCAATTGAAAACTACAAAAGTATATAAGCTTTGGCTTCCCATACTGAGTTTCCCTTCTTGTTTTACTGTTCGTTCTATAAACTAAAGCATGTTTAATTTATTAATTTAGTAATGCATTACAAATGCTGTTCCACTTAGAGAGTGTAAACTATAAAAGTTCAGGTGATTTTGAAACCAACAATGCAACAATATTCACACGCCCATAAATGGGGCAATGGTTTCCATCATAAATGCGGAACAAATGTGAACAATTTCCATCTGTTGCAAAGCACACGCAGTGATATCCAACGATATGGCTTCGATTGGATATATTATATTATATATTAGCAATGCTGATTTTATCGACGATACGCCAAAAGCAGAACGACAAACGGAGGAACCCACAACAACACCCTAACCATAACCATGTTCTACATATACGACCTCGGACTGCTGGCGGCGGCGGCATCGAAGCTAATCGCTGTTTACAATTGCAGATTGGCCCGTAATTTACGTGATAAGAGGCCCATTGTCAGATTTAACCAAATATCCGAAATGGGATCCAATTCTCCTCAGAGGAGGCTTCACCTGGTCCCTGTGCTAAACCACGACCCTTTTGTGTGCCTCCAAAATGATATGGAGACCAGAGTGCAATGCAGTCTATTAATACTGGGGGTAACAGGAGGTTGGGTGACTTGGCTTTATCCAGGACAGATAGCGATTATTATTAATATTGGACATTAGCTTATGGAACCTTTCTAGTTTCTACTAAATTCAGGGAAGAGGTTGTTAGGTTAAAGGACACGAAACTAGAGTAAGGGGAGTGAAAGGTTTGAAAGGTATTTCCTTAAGTGGAATATAGAGAAGGATGTCACAGAGAAAAGGTTTAAATAACTCTCCCCACTTGACAAGACCTTCTTCCGACTGCATTTCTATGATATATAGAGGGAGTTAGTTCCCCAACTTGGATAGCAAGCATTTGTTAGTGGAAAATTCCATTTTAGGAGATGTATCCAATGTATCCCCTGTATCTCAGGTATCCCACGTTTGCGCCAACAGAGTGTTTTTTGTATATCATAGTTTTTTGGTTGTTTTGTTTTTACGTTCCTTTCGTTCTTTATCATTCTATTTTTGGGGAGCTAATCTGTCGAAAACCCCCAGCGATCTGTGCATTCTGGCTCGGCCTGGGCTGGCCTGGGTGTCCAGCAGGCACTCCAGTGGGTGAAGTGCCCGGAATGGATAGCCCGGTTTGTGTGGCAAATGCTTATCAACGGGATTGTGGTTCTCACGGTGGCTCTAACCAGGTTCCTTATCAGTTAACTGGCGATGATGACGATGACACGACCAGAGGTGAAACGTAAACAAACGACGCCCACGTTGATCCCAACGAAACCGAAACCGAATCAAAACCGAAGTCCTGGCACTCAGATCGCAACCGGCATTGCCATCAAGCGGCAGACGGTTGTCCACTGGCCTCGCGTGCACTTCGTTCACCAGCGAATCATTATGGCCTTTTCCAGTTCACCAACTCCATCATCATCATCATCATGGGATTACCCGTTGCTACAGGGATTACGTTTGCAAAATGATACGGAATCATCGCTGGTTTTGATGCCGCCAACCACGACGACAACGTATAGTTTTACACCTGGTCACATCCTCTGGTTGGTGATCAATGCTATGCTGTTTGCCTTAATCCTGGGTGGAAATATCCTAACCATTGTGGCGGTTAGAACCTGTCGTCATCTTCGTTCGGTTATCTCCAACCTGTTCATCCTTTCGCTGGCCGTCTCCGACTTTTGTGTGGGCCTGGCTCTGCCCTATCATCTGGTCTTCTACATGGGTTCCGGTGGGATTGGTGCCATGCGAGCTCCTTGTTTGCTGCGCTTTTTCCTACTGATCTGCGCCTGCTGTGTCTCCATGCTGACCCTCATCTCCATAGCCGTGGATCGTTATATAGCAGTGGTATATGCCCTGCATTACAGGAGGTAAGGATGAGGATTAATCCTGCTTGGTTTGAGCTCTTTTTAAGCTATTCCCCTTGCAGATACATGACCCGAAGGGTGGCCTACAGCATCATCATTTGTAACTGGTGCTTGGGCGCCTTGGTGGCCCTGCTGCCTGTCTTCTGGAATCGCTGGCCCGAGGCCATGGCCTGTGAGTTTGATGAGGTCTTAGCTCCTGGCTATATAGCCGGTGTGATAACGCCCGGATTTGTCATCATTTGGATTTGCATGCTCCTCGTCTACTGGCGAATTATGAGGGAGGCCACCAGGCAGGCCCAAAGATTGCGCCAGTCGGTGGTTTATAATACGGATGAGGCCACCACGATGCGCAGCTTGCTGCTGCATCCGGATTGGAAGAGTGTCCAGATTGTGGTCTTCATCATGGGTTGCTTTACGATCTGCTGGCTTCCGTACTTCTGTGTGGCCATTGCCCAGCTGTTTAGCATCTGTCGGAGCAGCTCGATGATCTACAAGGTGACCTTCTCCCTGGCCATGGCCAATTCGGCCTTGAATCCCATTATTTACTCGTGGAAGAATTCCGGTTTCCGACGAGCCTTTGCCCAGACGCTGTGCTGTCGAACATCGAGGCAGTGCGAGGATCAGCTGCCGGCGGATAGTAAGCACCGCATGGAGGCCACCTCCTCCTCGATGGGGTATCATCAGCAGGAGGTCAAAAGGGAGATCAAAATGGAAGTCAAGGAGGAAGTGAAGCAGGAGGTGAAGTTGGAAGTGAAAATGGAAATCAAGGAAGTCAAGGAAGTCAAGCCAAAGGCTATACAATGAAAGGAAACTTTTGGTTTCCAAGCCTGGAATACCCATCCCATTCCAACCGCCTTTGGGCAGCCACAATATACATATATAATATGCATATATAGTATGGAATATATTATATATTTCTGTATATAACAATGAGAGCAGAGAGCAGCAGCGACGGAAACCGTGGATTAGCAATTAAAGTTTAACTTTAAAAGCAAAATTTTTAGATTTACTTTAAGCTTAAACAGGGAGGGTTACTTTTGAACCATTGGGAGGGCATTTTCTAAGAATTTCATAATTGGAACATCTATTTTTCAATATTTTAAAAGAAGTAACAACGTTTAGTTGTTGAAGAATTAAGAAAATTGTTTTTAAATTCAATAATTTAGAAATTTCTATTTTTTGTATTATAACTTTAGTCAGAAGCATAAAACTTAGTGAAAGAGACATTTCCGACTCTATATTTAGACCCAATATATTCTCCTGTTGATGCTGATCAAGAATAAAATGAAAAATGAATCCTTCACTTAGTTTTTAGTTTCTGACTAAAATTATAATACCCTGCAAGTGTATACAAATTCGACAAAGAATGAGATCTTCTTCAGGATCATTGACAATGATTATGATATAGTTATATATTTGTTAAGGATAGACTAGGACTCACCTCAATGCCCGTAATGCCCAGGGCATGCACCAGATTCTGGGTGAGACGGAAGGGCACCTTCTCCGGTATCCGCAGTGTGCGTCCCTTCTCGAAGCAGACATTGTAATCGATGTGAACGATGTTCCCGCTGCCCAGGTTGATCAAAACATTGTCCAGATGCCGATCGCCCAGGCCGATGACGTAGCCAATCATGGACATGACGCTCATGCAGCGGGCATAGCGTCGCACCGATTGACGCCACTCGGCGGCATTGGCCGCCTGGCACCACAGCTCACGGGCGAGCAGATCGCCCGGCGTCTCCTGCGATAGCTCGGCAAGGACCTGTCGCAACGCCGATATGGGCCACTGCCGTCGTGGATCACTGACCTGGAGATTATGCTTGGCCAGGAGCGGTGACAGCTTGCTGTAGTACAGATCCGTAAAACGTCGCGTGGCATTGGCTCCTGCTCCCGGTCCTCCTCCTGCTCCCGTTTTGCTGGATACCTGGGGAGGCTGTCGTTGCTGCCACTTCTTGTAGAGGGCAAAGAGCGGAGTAACGCCATCCACCCAGCTAATCAATCCCGACTGCGGTCCCAGCGGTATCACGGAGTAGTGGTGGGCACGATAGCAACCATTGCCAGGGGCATCGCTGCGACAGGCCATGATGGCGTTCGAAATGGACAGGAACTGCATGATGCGCTCGTCCAAATGCAGATCCTCCATGCCCTTGAAGAGGAACGTGTAGCGTTGACCATTGCTGCCATAGAAGGCCACCTTCTTGGGCTTCGTCTTGGTGGGCAATACGCATACCGTTCCCTCCACACTCTCGATATACACCTTCTCATCCTCGTCGTGGGCATCCAGGCCGGGCATGCAGATCCGCATGCGTCCAATGCCGCATAGAACCGGACTCAGGCTCTGCATCTTGAGGGTGCTGCCCGTGCCGCGTATCATGTTCGCCTGCAGGATGTGATATAGCTGCTTCAGCTTGTCCCAGGCCTCGGGATAGCGTCGCGTCCTCAATGCCTCCACAGTGGCTCGAATCGGGGCATCGAAACGCTTACGGAAGCTCCTCTCATAGCTGGTCTCAGGCGGACGGGCTGTGAGTGCCGCCAGAGCTTCAAGGTCGGCCAACAGCTGTGGTCGCCACGCATTGAATCGATTGTTCTTGCCCTCATGATCATCCGGCCGGAATTCGGTGGCCAGGGCGCTCACACGGCTCACGTAGGTGTTGTATATGTTGGCCAGCGAATGGATCCAGTACTCATCCCAAAGCAGGCACACGCGTCGCAGCTCCTTCACCATCAGTTGGACATGCTGCACTGCCTCGGGCGCCTGCTTGGAGAGTGCGTTCAACAGGTAGCCATAGCAGCAGGCATCCTCAGTGGAGGGTTGTGATTCCTTCGGCGTTGCCTCCACATCGCTCTGCTGCTCTCTGTTGGCTCCAACCACAGCGGGGAATATCACCAATTGTGGGCGACTCTCCGCCAGGCGGCAGAGCAGTGCACAGACGCTCTTTCTCACATAGGGTTCGTGGTGATTAAGGCGGCTGAACAACTGCGGGATAATCACCTTCCAGGGGGCTATGGGCGTGTTGCTTAGGCCCTGCTCCAGGACCTCCTGCAGTCCGCTGGCATGCTTCACAATCAGGCGGAGCAGGCGCAGTGTGGTCGTCACCAGGTTGCTGTCGTCCACATGGAAGCGTCCCTCTGCTGGAACTGCACCGCAATGGCCTGACTTGACCTGGAGATACTGGAAGTAGGAGCGAGCTGCATCCCTATAGTAATCATAGGTATTGGCTATGGCCCGGCGCCAGATCCTTAGGACTGCATCCAGAACTTCCGATGGACGTTCCGCCAGTAGAGGTAGTCTCCGAAGACAAGCCTTGGCCGCCTCATCATCCCGGGCACGTGCCGCCTCGGGGCACACCTCCACACACTTGGCCGGCGGCTGCTCCATGCTCAAGGCCTGCAATAGTTCATTCAATCCCTCGCTGTCCAGTGGCTGCGGTAGATCCAAGGCCTGACTGATCGCAGCCACATCCGTCTGGGTGAGCACTGTGCCGCTGTCGACGATTTTCTTGCCCCAGCGATAGCACCAGTTGCCGTAGGCTATCAATGCCTCCTCGCAGTTCGGTCGCTGCCTGAGGCTGGCATGGACGAGGCGGGCCACCAGGCTCTCGGCTTGGGGAATGGCCAATGGTTGGCCAGAGCCGCAGGTCAGCGGGCATTCGGGCAGTTGCTCCAGGAGCTGGGCAAGAACGGGTGACTGATTCGTAACCAGGCCGCTGCAGCTTCGGGTGGCAATCCAATCGGAGAGATTGAGCAATAGGTCGGCTCCCTCGCCGCTTCGCTGTAGGTTGAGGCAGAGCGAGGCGCAGATATCAATGGAGGTGGGCAGCTCTCCGCACGGAACATGCTGCTGCTGCTGCTGCTGCTGCTGTTGGAGATGCAGGCACTTGACTAGCTCGCTGTAGCCACGCTTCAGGTCCGGATTCTCCGTTACTGGCAGCGTTGCCAACTGCCCGGCAATCTCCTCCAGCGGCTGGCCAAAGAATTGTTTTAGGAGGCACTGTGACAGCTGTAGGTTGCCCTCCTCGCGGGCAGCGGCTGCAGCGTCCAGGCACAGGGTCTCCCAGCTGCCCGGAGCGCAGTGTTGACGCAGCAGCTGCGTCCAGGCCAGGCAACGCATAAGAATGGCACTGGAAACGTTCTGTCCTGGTCGTGGCGGCATTCTTCCTCTCCTGGCGCCATCCAGAGGGAGTAGGCATAGCTCCTGGGCGCCTCCTACGCCCTGTACAATGTGTCGCAGCAGAGTGAGCTCCTGGCAGGGCCTCTGATCGCAGCTGGGATTAAGGAGGCTGTCGCGCCATTGAGTGTCCAGCAGGCCCACCACGTTATCCGGCAGGCAGCGCCACTCCAGCAGCTTGTGCTGCACCAGATCCTCGGTGCGTCGTTGAATGTGAACCGCTGAGAAGCTGGCATGGCTACGCTCCGTCTCCTCCCAGCCGCTGGGCCACAGGCTTAGCTGCTGCAAGGCGCCACCAAGCTCCTTGGATGTTGCGTCCTCTGCCCTAGCTAAAAGTCGTTCTAGGGCACTCACCTCCACATTGCTGCGCTGCAGGAAGGGGTTCAATTCACGATCCTCGGGTCGCTGGAACTGCTGCTGCTTCATATCCACCAGCTGCGACCACTGGCCGGTGTCCTGCAGGCACTGCATGATCTGGGCCAGAACAAATTGTCGGGTGAGCGGCTCCAGTTCCGTCTCCTCATCGGCCAAGAGGCTACGGTAGCCGGCCAGGGCGGACTCTCGTTTGCCCGCTGCCTGATCTGCGGCATACTGTAGCCAATGGAAGCTCTTGTTGTTGCTGCTGCTGCTGCTGCTGCTGCTCTTGGAGCGTGCCCATATAGAGAGACCTCGCAGGGAGTCCGCCTCCCGGCAGCTAACCCAGGCCCAGGCCATGTACACAATAGCCTGGCTATAGGTGACGTCCTGCGACTTTTGCGTGAGCAGGATTTGCTGTAAAGGAAGGGGTTTAGTGACTCACCCGAAGCTTTAATTGATCAGTGCACTCACCTGGGCGTAGCGGATGACCAACTCCGGCTGGTGGATGTGCATGGCTATAATCACGACGCCAATCCGGATGCGATTGAACCACGACTGACAGGTGGGATTGTTGAGGCGAAAGAATGCCGCCACTGGCTTCTCCGGCGGACGCAGGGCAAAGGCACTGCCCTCGGCGGCATTGTAGATAAGCTTCTCCAGTGCATCGAGGAAGCCCAGGAGCATGCACAGATTTGCCTGTATGTTGGACAACTCCTCCAGGGACAGATTGCCAAGCGCCGTACGCTCGGCCTCCTTGGCACAGCCGCTCAAGAGGCGGGCATGCCGCATAATGATGGCCTCAAAGCCCAGGAACGTGTCCTGCGGCTTGCCCAGCGTCGTCCTCAGGCGCTGATCCACACAGTAACGCGCCGCCTCGAACTGCAGCCAGGCGGTGGCCAAACGTTGGCAGCGTCGGGTGCACTGCGACAGCTTGTCCTGTCGCTCATCCTGCGGTGCCACCTGGCAGCTGCGTACGAAGAGATCGCGAAGACCACTGTTGCTGGTCAGCGGCGCTTGGTCCGGTTGCTGCAGACGCTCCACAAAATCACGGAAGACACTGTCCCGCACAGCGCTGCACTGGCTCATCCTCTGCTGCCATACGCACAGCCTTCGGCTGGTCATTCCCGGCAGGGAGGAGACACCGCATCCGGGCAGGGTCACGTTCAGTGGTAGTTGGGCGTAGATGTGAGCGAACAGTCCATGGTGTCCACTGGGGGCCAGTACCTGCAGCTGCTGGAGGGCAGTATCCCGATAAAGGACAAGCAGCTCGGGCAGGTGATGATGCAGCTCCTTGGGGCCATACTCCAGCACGGTTTGCATGCAGGAGCCACTCTCCAGGGGCGTCCATTTGGCCGCGTTGCAGGCAATGCTTCGGCAGATGCCTTGGAAATTCGTCTGAACCATCAGCAGGCTGGCCTTCTCTCTGCATTCGGCAAGAAGCATCTGGGTCCACTGCAGCAGGATGCGCAGATTGTGCGGTGCTAGTTGACTTGCCTCCTTAAGGATCATGTCCAGGAAACGCAGAATGCTGGCAAAGCTATGGGCCGTGGGCGATGTGTTCTCGGCCAAGTCCTGATCTCGCAGCAGGCTGGAGTTCGTACGGAAGTTGTGATTCGCCTGGCAATGGACCACAAGGAGACTCAATACGGTCTGATGCGCAGCTGGGTATTTGCTCCACAGCGTCATGTCCTGCGCGCGACAATTCGTAAGCAGCAACTCCAGGATCGACGGCTGGCAGGCGTACATTCCAATAATGGACGACGTTTGCTTGGCCAGTGCTGCCAAGGCCGCCAAATGGAAGACCAGCAGCACGCCCGCCTCCTCACTGGCCCGGCGCTCGGCATCAGATGTGCAGTTCAATTGCAGCTGGCGCACACAGGCATCCACATCGTCCACTAGATGCTTGTAGGCCTGCTGCAGTAGTGGGACATTCCGGATGAGCAGCGTCTCTTGGCAGGTGCGTAGGAGCAGCTTATATGTCTTGCCGCCCGGCTTCTGTCGCTTTAATTCCGCCAGATATGGATTAGACCGGAATATTAGCTGCACCAGGCTCTTGGGGAAGCGGGCACGCAACCTCCGGACGGTGCAGAGAAGCAAATATAGGAGGCTTTGCCTCTGGAACTCACTCAGCCGATAAATCTCCTCAAATTGGCACAGAAGTAGCTCCTCTAGGGTATCAGCGTCCAGGCCTCCAAAGCCGTTTAGCAGGCAAATGCAGAGCAGCTCATTGATACTGACCAAAGCGGCGTCCGTGGTAAGCAGGCTGCCGGGCTGGATCTTAACCAGATGATTCACGGCAAGCTGGACAATCGACTCGCAGGCGGGTATGCCCTCAAACATCTGCATCCGGGCCATGCATTTGAGCAGGGTATTGAAGGCGCCTACAAAGGCGCCCATACGGACCGCCGACGTCTCACATTCCTCGAAATCCAGCGCCGTGATGTCCTCAACGAACTGGGCCAATAGGCCGTAGCTAAAGTCAATCTGCTTGCTGAAGTACGGAGTCAGTTGCTCCAAGACCTGGGCACAGTGAGCCTTCAGGTGGGTGGGCTGGCCCGAACTAACCTCCAATTGCCAGCCAATGATGATGTCCACCACGTCCGTGAAATGACACTCGAAGGCCTCACGGTAGCTGGCCGAGAATAGGACCAACGTATTGCTTATAACCATAAAGCTTTCGGCGTTCTCCGCTGTCTCTAGGAAGTCCTTGAGCAGCAGCATGATCTTATCGGAGAACGGAAGCAGCTCACACTTGGTGTCGCAACTGGAGGGAGGCAGGCGGGATTAGCACAGGATTACAAGGAACTCTAGGAAACCCTCACCTGAGTGTGGATCGCAGGGCGAGTATTAGGTACCTCTGCATCCGCTTGCTGCTTTTGTAGTTCTTCAAAATGAACTCCTCGAACACGGGATAGGACTTCCGGTTGAGGTAACCAATCACTCCCAGGATTTTGCTGCACTCTTCCAGGACCGGCGGTGGGCATTGCTTGAACAGGGTCAGCATGCTCTCCAGTATCCAAACGAACGAGCACGACATATAGCCCATGTTGATGGGCATGCGCACCGCCTGCTCCAGCTTCCCGCACAGATCCAAGGCCACAGTGGGATTTGTTTCATTGCACAGGCGACGGATGATCTTCGAGAGGCGCAGTTCCTCGCCATTGCTTGACGTTCCGGAGTTTTGATCACCTGCAGAACAGCACAGCGTTTAGGAGGTTATGGTCAAGGTTAAACCTCTCACCAACTCACCTTTGTTTTGGTAGCCGCCCTTGCGATGGCCAGTCACCGAAAATCCCTTGCCCAGGTTCATGTGCAGACTGAGATTGAGGTTCTCGTGGCCACGCAGGGCCATTGAGTTGGCCAGGGCCTGCGCCACCTCATGGGGCTTGCTGCCACCGCCGCCACAAGTGCTGTTTGTGAAGCTGCAACTATTGGTCCACAGGGAATCACTGCCACTGAGGGTGGTGGTGCTGCAGCTGCCACTCATGCTCCCGCTGCCACTGGTTTCGCTGAACGCTGTGGGATGCACGGCGAGGGAGGGGATGCCAATATTATTGCCATTGTTGTTTCGGAGAACGCAGAACGCGTGGAGCGCGGGCGACGACTCCTCTTCGTTCGTCGTTCCATTGTAGTTGTCCGGCTGCAGCGCGTCCTTCATTGAGGGTGCAAGCGGCGCTAGCGCAGACATTAAGACTCCCCAACTCGGGAAGCATGAATTAAGATTAATTTTCCAACAAAAATCGCGTTATTTTTCTATTATTTTCTTTTTTTTGTCCTAAACACCAGTTAGCGATGGACTTATAGCGAGTTCATTATCGATAACCGTTTGATCTCCGATGATTGCCTTTCTCATATCGGCGAAAGAAAGCCGTGGAGAAATTGTTCTTTTTTTTCTTTCACTTGAAAGCACACGGAATTTGGGACATTCAGATGCTGACAGGAAAATGTTGAAAAATCATTTATATGGAATTATCAAGCTTGGAGTAAGAATTGTTGAGTTAAAGTTCCTAGATGGGTTAGTAAAATCTTTATACACAAAGTATCTGGGATCTACTTTGAAGTATCTGATTTGGCATAGGCTTCTTAGGAAACTTTTTTAATTGTATTTCCCCCTATCGTGAAATGAAACTTGTTGGCAGCCGATAAAAACTGTTGAATGCAGCTGCACTATCGAAGTTGTGTCGCCACTATTATCAGGCAATTGCTATTTTTTGGCGGCCATTATCGATAATGTAACGGTTATCGTCCACTTGGAACTGCAGTTTACACAAATTACTTTGTTAATTATTAAAAACGTGAAATACTCAGTAATACAAAACAAAAAGTTGTAATATCCGTTGCCTGCACTTTTTTTAAACTTTTATTGAACAAAAAAAAGAAGAGGAAGCAATGTACAGAGCTCTTAAACTACATTAAAATACGAACTCCATTGATATCCATGTAGATATCCACGATTCGCCATAAAGGTTATACAAAGAATACATTAATATTGGTTAGTTTATATTCTTTCTTAAGTTAATCCAGCTAATCCTGTAGCTTATTAATCATGTGCTGAGTGTAGGCGGCCACAAAGTTGGCCATTTTGGCGTACACCTGATACGGATGCTCGAACGGCGGGGGCATGGCTCCCGCCGGCGGATTATACTCCACCGGCTGACGCGGTGGCTCGGCCCGCGGACGTGGTGGCACCGGCAACGCCGGTGGAGCTGACTGCTCGCGCTGGACAAGCGACAGACAAATATCGCCCACCTGCAGCTGCTGGCACTTGAGCTCGTACAGCTGCAGCGACAGCTGGGGATTGCAGGAGGCCCAACCCTGGCCATAGACAAAGAGCGGATGCCCGGGCAGCACCTCCATATGCACCTGCAAGTCGATAAGAGGCTTACTCACTGGAGAATGTAACAACTTGCAGCTTACCTTGTCATGCTGTGTGTCATAGCTGAACGTAATGATCACTCCCTGACCGGGGGCAGCTCCACGATCGATCCTCACCACGGTGGCCTCCCGCAGATCAAAGAGCTGGCTGCGCAGTGCCGACTGTATAAAGTCCTCGGTCCGTATGTCCTCTACACGTCGCTTGGCCCCGCTGGAGAGCTCAATGTAGGAGCCGCGGTGAAAGCAGCTCGAGTCCGAGGCATCCGGCTTGCTGCAAATGGAAACCCATTGAAGATACACACGGGGAATACGGAAGGAGCTAGCCTCGCTTACATGATGGGCATCTGCTGCTGTGGAGTATGCGGATGAGGCCTCCTGTAGCCGTAGCTGGTCTTGGTCTCCATGGACATGTGCATGACTTGTTCTTACGCGGAGCAACTTGCCTCAACTGAGCCAGACCGAGCACTTGATGGTCAATAAATATTCATTCAGACGAGCTTGGTGTTTTCCGCGGAATTTCCACGAATGTCGCCCACTCATATATCCCAGGTGGTGCCGGTACCTACGGCCTGCTTTATGGTTATAATCTGCTCAGCGCAACAGGTACGCGTCGGATTGCTACCTGCGTCGCGTCGCATTCCGCCGATTTCCGCTGAAGAGGCCTTTGTTCATTGTCTCGCCATGACCAGGGGCCCATCGGCGCCGAGCTGGCTGTTGCGCCAGGCGCCTTGCACCGCCAGGAACGAAGCCATGTAGCCTGGTTTCCGATGAAGCTCAATGTAATCTCTCTCTCCCACTTGCTTTCATTCTCTTCCTTTATTTGGTCTTTCGTTTTCTCTTAACTGACGACGCCGTCGCCTTCGGAGGCACTGCCACCTTGCCACCCCAGCTGAGGCCCAAGGCATACACGTAGTAGCCTCCAAAGAAGTACAGGACCCCAAGTGCTGCATACACTGAGGTCAGCAGGAGCGGCAGGAAGGGCAGCCGCTTGTCCAGGCCCAGCAGAAAAGCCAGCACGTGCTCGTACAGAGGAATAGCCAGAAAGCCGAGCATGTAGAGCCACTCCCAGACACGGAAGCCCCGGAAGCCGGGAAAGATGCGATACAGCTGGCCGTAAAGCATGGCCACGTACGACATGTACAGTGAGTAGCGGGGTATGAACAGATCCGGGTCGAAGAGCAGCGGGAACAGTGAGAAGTAGCCTGCGATGCCCAGGATATAGGCGTATCTTGCATCCTCGCGGTTGACCAGGGTTAGTAGGCTGCAAGGTTGGGAGTTATCTCCTTTGGCCAGGGAAGTAGTAGCTTGCCAGGATCACTTACCAGAGTGGAATTAGTACCATCAGGATGGCCTTTTCATGGACATGCCAGCCAAAGACAAAGGAGGAGCAGCCGCAGAGAACCACCGAGCGCAGGAACACCAAAGGGCTTTGTCTGTGGGAGAAGGTAATATGAAATTAAAGATTTAACTTGTAGTTTAATTTAATTTACATACTTTTTAGGACTCCTGAAGAGCTTCACTAGAATGGGCAGCATGAAGAGGACGGTCAGGGCGAACGTCACTGGCGGTGTAATAGCTGGCAGCACCGTATGCTTCACCTCCTGCACCAGACCCGACGTAGTCGAGGCAGCACCCGGTGGCACTCGCAGAACGCTGGCTGCCACCTTGTCGGCGGTGTTGTAGAGAGCCCAGAAATTGGGCGCCCAGTAAGCGTGCGTCAGGCCTCGCTTGAAGGGAAATAGCCGGGCCAAGACCTGCGGCAGTTGCTGCACAAATGGACCAAAGGCCACGGCAAACGGTGTGAGTCCCACTGCCAGCAGCTTGACCACTGCCGCCGCCATGGCTGCCACGCTGGCCTGCTCCAGGCAGTAGAAGCGCAGCAGATATACTCCAAAGGCTGGGGCCATGTACAGGAAGATGTGCTTGAAGTTCAGCAGGACGGCGAATGCAAATGCGCTCCACAAGTAGCGCTGCCTGATGAGACACCCAATGCTCAGCAGGAGGATGCCAAACAGGAAGCCATTGTACTGGAAGTGAATGTGATCCACGAAGAGCAGTCCCACGTTGAGGAGCAGCAGCATGGCGCCGGCAAAGTGCTGCTGCGAGTCGCGTGCCAGTCCCAATGCACCCAGGCAGCTGCGGACGCCCAGCACATAGACCAGATCCGTGAAAATCACCGACAGCCGCTGGAAGTACACCGTCGCCTTCGACTCGTAGTTGAGGTTGTGCACCTCCAGCATCCGGGGATCCACATAGCGGGCCACCTGCGACAGCAGCCACTCGAAGTATGCGAAGAGAGGCGGATAGTCCAGCGTCCACTCGCTGGTGGCCTCCACGTACCAACGGTTAAGCGGCAAGCTGTGCGTGATGGCCAGCCAGTTGCGGTGCACCTCGAAGTCTGTGGAATGACTGCAAGGGTGTGAGTTTCGCTAATTGCAGAGCAGCTGGAGGCAGGGCACTTACTAGGCAGGAATGAGGAGGATCTTCAGGCCGGTGCTAATGCCCACCAAGTGCCAGAAGATATCCCTCATCGTCGTTGTCGTCGTCTTCGTCTTTTCGGAGGATTCGTATTGGGCATGATAACAGCCAGTGTGACCCTATGCGGGTACATTGCCGCTGGACTTATCGATAGTCATCGGATTTTGTAAGACTACGTGGAAAGTTTACGTTTTAGATCACTTTACGTTGTTCGAAAAAGTTCTCGGGTATAGCAAAGTTTCGCACCCTTTTTTTAACTCTTCGGATTTCTCAGTAGTAAAGGCGCTCGATACTAAAGTCTATGTTTTTGCAGCCTATTATATCCCAAGTGCATTTTTCCCAATTTAAAATGTATAATATTTATGCACTTTACGACAAAGGACTACGATGTTGAAAGCTTACGTAGTTCGATTACGTATTTTAGCACATTATAGTGAGACCAGCCGCAGTGTATGGAGAAAACCAGCTCAGCATTATAAACTGAAAACTATCGACGGTGTTATCGATGTTCTTGCATCTCTATGCAGTTCTACTTACGCATTTGCGAATTTAGGCGTCGAATTTAAATAAATATTGTGGACTCGAGCCGGCTGCCAGAGTCCAACCGTTGCTGCCACCGCGAAGCCAAGACCGTGTGCCAGCCGGGCCATGTACGCCACCAACAATGGCGGAACGAACAAGGCGCCAAACAGGTTAGTTTCGCCGCCGAAACGAAGTCCGTGTACCACACACACCCTCTCCTGCCATTCCCCACCCCCTCGCAGGCAGAGGCGGTACAGCCGAGATTTGTAATATTTTTTCTAATGTTTTTATTTGGTTGCTCCTCCATGTGCACCTCTTTCCGCAGCAGTGGCACCTCCATGTTTGACAACACCATCACCGTGACCCCAATCAAGGTGGAACTGAGCTCGGCCGTCGCCCAGGCGTACGCCGCTGGCAAGGGCCAAGCTCCAACGGCGGCGGCGGTGCAGCGAAGGACGCCCAATGCAGTGGTGGTGACCACCACCACAGCCCCCAATAGCCAACATCAACAGCAGCAACAACACCAGCTGCAGCTTGCGGGAGGCGGAGGAGGCACCACCACGCTAACCTTACCCATGCAAGCGACCCTGGTTTCTTCGAATAATGCCTCCTGCACCATCGTCAATCCTGGTGGAATGAGTGTAACAACCAATAGCGTAGCCAGCACCACGGGGAGCACGCCCAAGGAGAAAACGACGACGAAGGCAAGCCGGGCGCAGGTGGCGCGCAAACCGCCGCCCACAATTGACAATTTCTGGCCCAACATTGTGAGTGAAGTGCATGGGATCGGCCAGGTGGACGCCAAGCATCAAGTGCTGCCGCTGGCACGCATCAAGAAGATCATGAAGCTGGACGAGAACGCCAAGATGATAGCCGGCGAGGCGCCGCTGCTGTTTGCCAAGGCCTGCGAGTACTTCATCCAGGAGCTAACAATGCACGCCTGGGTGCACACGGAGGAGAGCCGCCGGCGCACGCTGCAGCGTTCGGACATTGCCCAGGCAATTGCCAACTACGACCAGTTCGATTTCCTCATCGACATTGTGCCCCGCGAGGAGATCAAGCCATCGTCGTCGTCCTCCTCCTCGTCAGCGGCGGCGCAGAAGCAGAACAAGGATGGCGGCAGCACCATGGCTGGGTCTGTTGCCAACTCCGGAGCGTCGGCAGCCTCTGCAGCTGGCAGCGCCAATGCCACAGGCAACTTTGTAGCCGGTGGTGCCAATGTACCTGCAGCCACCACTGCCGCCGGTGGCCTCAAGCTGGACGCCGTTCCAGGCACAACCAGTGCCGGTGAGGTGCTCAGCTTCAGTCCCGTCAATCCGGACATCTTTTCCGCTCAACTGCAGCAGCAGCACGCCGCCCAGCAGCAGCAGCAACACCATCACCATCCCCAGCAGGTGCAGATCATCCAGCAGGCTGGCCATCCCGGTGGCCAGCAGCTGCAATACTTCATTGCCCTGCCCGGCCAGCAGGCGGCGCAGCTGGTGCAGCAACAGCAGCCGCAGCCCGCCCAGAATCATCTGGCCAACAGTCTGGGCCTGAACATAGTCACCGCCCAGCAGCAGCCCACCCAGCAGTTGATCCTCACCGCCGGTCCCAATGGCCAGCTGACAGCCACGCCTGCGCCACAGACGACCGCCCAGCAACAGCAGCAGCAGGCGGCCCTGCTCCAGAATCTCGCCCAGCAGCAGCAGCAGGCGCAACAGCAGCAGCAGCAGCAACAACAGCAGCAGCAGATCCAGCTTATCCAGCAGGTGGTGACGCCCACGGGCGAGCTGACCAATGTACCGGTGAGTAGAAGCTGGGATTTATCCAACCGAAAATCAAACTAACGACAAATTTCCTTCCCTTAGATCGCTATCAATGCCAATCACTTGCATTTGCTGCGCCTGCAGATGCAACAGCAGCAGCAGCAACAGCAACAACAGCAGCAAGCGCAGCAGCAGCAGCAACAGCAGGTGATCATCCCCACACAGCTGCTGACGGCGCAGCAAATACTGCAGCTGGGCGGAGCCACTGCGCAGCAGCAGCAACAGCAAGTCCAAGTGCAGGTCCAGCAGCATCAGCAACAGCAGCAGCAGCAGCACGTCAATCTGAGCCAGAGCAATGCCAGTGCCGTGACCACAGCCACGCCCATCTTCATCAACTCCAACCAGGCGGCGACGCAGCAGCAGGCACAGCAGCAGCAAGCACAGCAACAGCAGCAGGCGCAAGCGATTAGCAGCCTGTCCGGAGAACGTGGCGGTTTCCGATGAAAGCAGGACACCCTGGCCAACATATCGAAGCATCGGGAGGCATCCAGCACAATGTATAAAATATTTCTAGTTGCTAGTTTAACGTAGTTCTAGTAGTGTATATCGGGCGATGAATCTATATATATATATAGGTATATATCTAGCCAAGTAAGTGTAGAAATGATATCTCAAAAAATTGTAATTTATTGCCGAAAGAAAGCCCTCCTCCTGCAGGTTTCACCTTTCCCCAGAGTCCCACAACCACCCACCTTCACCTTCACACTTTTAAAAACCATCCTAGAGATTTAGAGAGAGACACGCCGCCTCCGCGTCCTGGTAAGGGGCTCATCCGTTTATTATGTATTTGTATTTCTAATTAGACGTAAGCTCTGATAACAATTATAAGCCAACCACAAGAAGGACTATGTGCCAGAAGCTCGCTCTCTCGTGTGTCTACTTCCTAGCTAGTATCTTGTTGATGTCCTGCAGCTCACGGGTGCTCCAGGGCTCCAAGGGATCCGGTGGCGACGATAGATTTCCGCGTCCCTGAGCCGCAGAACGACCGCGTTGTTCGTGAACCTCGCTCTGTTCCGGAGAAACCCTGGCAGAGGCAGGAAAATCCATCGGTTAAGGAACGATTATGGATTCGTAGATCACACTCACTTGTTCCTGCGACGAATACGCGCACTCTTGGCCCGGCGAGCGGCCTCATCCTGCGCCGGCTGGCATTTGCGCAAATGGAACTGCTTCATGGTGGCATGCACCTCCTCCGAGGTGGGCATTTCCTCGCTGGAAGAACAGGGTTCCTCACCGCCATTGCCGTCCTCGGTCTCCACTTCGGCCTCCTGTTCGATGGTCAGTACCTCCTCCGACACAGCCTCGTCGAAATGGAAGCCCTGCAAGGGTTACGAAGAGAAATCATTAGCAGAGAGAAGAGATAGAGCAAGAATTCTCCCTCACCGTCGTCTCCACAGCCAAGGCACCGGGCGGCGCCCACACCGAGGACATGGCCTCGAAACCAGGCTGCTGCTGCTCCCGCCGTATGTCCGCCTTGGACAAGGCATTGTGCGTCCTCTTGGCCAGCGAGAGCTTGCCCAGTATCGGTCCACCGCTGTCGCTCTCCTCCGTCTCGACCTCGGCCAGCATGGCCATAAACTCTTCGAGCTTCTTGGGATCGACAATATCCTTGGGATCCTGGAACAAGTTGCTTAGATTCGTCATGGGCAGGGGCATGGCCAAGGCCAGGTCCCCTGCTGGAGCTGCTGCTGCTAGTGCTGGAGCGGCAGGCACAGGCGTAAGCAAAGGATCCACCGACGGCGCTGCCACCTTCTTGGTCGTCGTCTGCGGCTGCGTCTTCATCGTTTGCTCCACTAAATCGAAGGCTTTGTTCGCCAGCTGCTGTAGTCCGGCAAAGTAGTGCGGATCATGGGTCTCTGGCCGCTGATCCGACATCATTATGAGCTCCCGAAAGGGATCTGGAGCCGGTGGTGCTGGTGGCGGAGCTGCTGTTGCTGTTCGCAGGACAACGCCATTGGAGGAAGCCGGATTATTGGCAAAAGTCAGCATGTCCATGGCGTTGGTGAAGTCCGATTCAGGATGCATGTTGTACGGATCCTTGAGCTTCTGTTTGGCCACCTTAACAGGACTAGAGATGGAGGCGCGACCCCACATGAGGCGACGCATCTCTTCGCCGGTCATGCCGCGCTTCTTCAGAGCCGTCAGGGTGACGCGACCCACTCTCTGGTGATTTTTATGAGAAATAAATATATATAGGTATAGGAATATACATTAATTTATTGATTTCTCCCTGTGCTCACCTTCCAGTTCGATACCGCTCCCTTGCGCTGCTTGGCCCTGGTCTTGCTCTTGCTCTTGATGACCATCACACCGCGTACCTCGAATCCCGTATCGTCCGCGGGACCCAAGGGTATGGAGTAGGCCTCTAGGTAACCCTTGGCATCTGCCTGCGGCACTGCTCGCTCCAAGGTGACAACGATCTTGGCCCACTGCTTCATCCACTCCTTCTCCGACTGCTCGATAACCGTCACATAGGTGTTGCCCATCATGGCAATCAACATGTTAAGCAGCAGAATGGGCACAAAGATCATGAAGATGACAAACACGGTCTTCGATAGATTCGGATACGTTGTCTGGTTGAGATCGGGATACTGCAACGAAAGGAGGAGGAGGAAACCTTAAGCGGAACAAGCTACATAGTGCCAGTGAGTGTAACCCACATTATAGTCACCGAGAGTGGTTTGGAAGAGGGCCATCCAGGTGCTAGTGTAGGTGTTGAACATGGTGGACTGCACCTGGGGATGTCCCTTGTACAGGAAGTAGAACGCCTGCGAGAACCCACAGAGCACAATGCAATAGATGATGCCAAAGGTGAACATGTCACCCGTTATCATCGAATAGATCATGGTCACAAAGGGTCCTGTAAGTCGGATGGCTCTGGGGGAAGAGAGACATCATTGATTAGAAGTTCACCATGTTCCTATTCCCACTTACCCGGCAAAGAACATGAGCAGAAACCAGGAGCCGGGCACTGCGAAGATCAGGATGGCCTCCTCGGTATCCGTGTCCCCAATCAGACGAAAGGGTATGCAGGCCAGGATCAGCAGGTTCGAGAACAGGAAGATAGCCTTGGCTGGAGCGTGAGACTAGAGAAGAGAAACTATAAGTACCAGGTCAGGATAAGGGCTTCAGCTTCAGCATCCTTAATTTTTCCTCATCTTTCCAGATTTCCTTACCAGCTGCTTAAGAAAGGCGGATAATCCCTGGTTCTTGATCTCATCTCCTTGCTGGAAGACCACATAGCTCAGGACGCCCGCTATGGTGGCCAGCTCGGCACAATATCGCGCCACCGTCTGGGCATTGTAGTCATCATCATCACCATTTCCATTACCATTTCCCTCTGTCACCGATTGAAGAGCAGCGGCAGCTCCACCCCTCCCAGATCCTCGCCCTCGGAGTCCTCACCCTCGGCCTCACCATCGTGCGCGGGTCGGAGATAAACGGATACGGAGAGGCACAGCAGATGCGTGGACAGGATGAGGAGACGCTTGAGGAACTGATTCTGGGCAAACGTCTTCCACTTCTCCTCGAGCAAACGTTGAATGATGCCACCGTCCAACATGTCCAGATGCTCGGGCTTGGTGCCATTCAGGATGATGAAGAGAGCCGAGTTCCAGTCTGTGTGAAGAGTGCAATGAAAATATGAACAAGAAAGGAAGCTAACTACGTTTCTATACCCCTTGCAGGAACAGTATACTGAATACTTACTGGTCCTGCCGTCTGGGAGGAGGGTGTCCAGCGCATTCAGGGGATAGCCGGAGCAGGTGATGTTACTGTAACGCCAAAACTCCCTGGCGGACAACTCCAACATCTCGCGAAAGACCTCGGCACGTCCCAGCTTGCAGGCGAGGGTTAGCGGCGTGAGACCCGTCTGGTTAACGATACCATTCTTGGCCGGCGTCTTGGGATGGCGCAGAGCATAGCCGAACATGTCCAGCTTGTCGCAGACGACCACCATGTGGAGGATCATGTTGCCGAACGAGTCCTGGGCATCGGGATCGGCGCCGCAGTCCACCAGCAGATTGTAGACACTCTCATTCGCACAGCAGGCGGCCCAGGCCAGCGGATACTCACCCATATAGGCCAGTCCCTCGTAGTCGGTGCTCTTAGCCGGATGGGCACGCTGCTGATCCCGGGGCAGGAAGAAGCTGCCTATTGCCCGCTGATTGATATCCGCCCCGGCCTCTATGAGATCCGCCACCAGCTCATTGTTGCTGTAGGCAATGGACAGGTGCAGGGCACTGGCTCCCAAATACTCCTCGCCCTCCATCACATCCAAGGCCAGGTTGGGAAAGACACGGAGCAGGACGCGGGCCAGCTTTGTGTGCACCTTGGAGTCGCAGATGATGAGCACGTGCAGCAGACTCTCGCCAAGAGCGCCGCGATACTGCATTTGCCAGCAGGCTTTGTGGTCCTCCCACTTGCCCAGCGGATCGTGTATCGACAGCGATGCCTCAATGGGTATGGTAACCTCTGTGTGGTCTCGGTATTTCCAGCGCAGGAACTCCGCACGGTTGATCACCTGGCCCTTGCCATCGTTGTACATGAAGACGCCAAACTGCTCGCGGATAAGCTGCTCCACGGCAATCAGTCCGCCGGAATTGATGGCATCAATGAGGTCGCCACCTGGTTGATGTGGGAATTGAAATGGTTTATTTGGTGTTTATCTTTTGAGAGGATTATAGGGCAATGTTATTAATTGAATATCCTTAAATAAGAGCAATCTAAGGAGGGGGAAGTCCCTTTTTTTCCCAGTTCCCCAACTCTTTCCTTGAAGGATTTAGGTTTTCCCCGTAATAAGAGGACATAAAGGAAAATTTAAATTCCTACAAATATAATATATATATTTATATAAAGTATTATTATTTAGGTCACCCAATAGCTACTCCTTACACCATCTACTCACTCACCCCTCTTGTAATCAGCCAGCTTGTAGAGCAGACACTTGCAGGCGGTGGCCGAGGACTGGGAGATGACGGCGTCCAGGATGGCCCCGGGCTTCATCTCCGGGGCCTTCTTGCGCAGGCATTTCTTCAGCAGGAACTTCATGACCGCTGCACCGCTGCACCGCTGCACCACTGTCCAACCACTGCCCTCCCCGGTGGCAAGTGCGCAGTTTCTGGCTCACTTCTGCTGTTTGTTTGTTCGATGAACCGCGGGGCAGAAGCGTTACGGACACCCAGGCTATGCCTGGCGTTGTCCTAGTAACTGAAGCTAAAAAGGAACCTTGTGGCAGCGGTAGATATGCAAGTGTCAGGGATCTGATAGGGATTTGCCATTAAATCAATAAAAATATATATGAAAATTAATGGGTTTTGAGATACCTTAAATTACCTGTTGCATACATTTACCTTATTCAAATATATCTAGAAAAAATTAATAATAACTTAAAAGGAATGAAAGATATCCTTACAGATTTATATATAATTTAAGTTTCATTTTTCTTTTTATTGAATTATGTATATAAATATATTTTTGCCTTCATTATTATTATTATTATTATTGTTAATTATAACTTAGCGCTAGAGTATCGGGGGTATTTGGGGGTTATCGGATATACATATACTCCTGTACTGTAAAATAAATTGTATAAATAATGTGTATGCTTCTGATTCCTCCCACACCTTCTCTAATGCTTCAAAGATTCTCTTCTCTCCTTCACTTATCGCTTCTGATGGCAATTAACGCCTGTGAATCGTCATTGATAAGTTAATCACTGCTTTATCGTCATAATTTATATCGCTTGAAGTTTGTATTTTCGTATATTGGTATTATTGTTATAGATATATATATAAATATAAATATAAATTAGAGAGAGACGTTCGACAAATCGTAATCGAATATGGCTATTAAATACAGAATGACAGTAATATCTGTGTCGGGCTCTGGAGTATGTTCTTTCGAGGATATATGCGTTAGATTTCCGGTCGGTTTACCGTCTATATGAATCTACCCCCAACCTAGGCCTAGCCGGGATAATCCCAGACATAAGTATCATCTCCAGATCAGAATGTTTAGTGAATACTACCTTGTATCTCTGTCAGTTCAGTTCGGTTCAGTTCCTCCATTTTCATTGGAGTTAAATGCAACTTGGACTCTTTGATTTCATTTGATTTGATTTGGAATTGAAATTGGAATTGCTTGGAATAATGCCTATAACTATGCATATATATATACATATATGTGTATATATATATATTCGTGTATAATAGAACCATTATATCTCTAGCACAATATATTGCCCATTACCCGAGAGAGTTGGTTGGTTGGTTGGTCTGGTCTAGGGATGTATACCGGAGTTAAAATCCGATATGATATATCGACATATCGAAAATATTGTAAACTTTGCTAAATTGAATTTTAAAACATCGAGCAATATTATATAAAATTTTTAAATATAGAAAAAACTTTGATATTGTAAAAAAATATCCGATTTGTATCAATTTCGAATATAGTGGTTCGATATATCAAATATAATATATTGATTTCATCGTATATATATTGCAACTTTAAAAGATTGATTTATAGATCGATATATCGACATTTTCTGCCATCCCCTATCTGGTCTTTCCCTATTTCTTCACTTTTTGCAGTTCTTTTCGGCCTATTGTGTCAGTCAGTCAGTCGGAGAGCTGGCTCATCCTTGGTATACAAAATATATAGTATATATGCTCTATATATATATAGTATATATCCTGGTTCGTGTATAAAAGTACATTTATATTCTATTGCAAGTACAAAAAACGCTATGGGTAATTGGTAATCATTGTGTTTGCTACTCGAGTGGCATCCTTTCTCATCATCACACACACATAGTATCCTCTGTCATATTGTTCAGTTAGTAGAGGGCTTTGGGCTTAGGGCGTTAATTAGGGATTGGCAGAGCAGGGATCCGCTGTTCAAGTCTTTTCGTTATACATTTTGGAATATATATAGTATTCTTGGAATTCTTCTCAGTTGTTTAGTCGCTTTTCCTGTTTGATTCTTGGCTTTAGTGTTTGATTTACTGATTTACCTATTAATACAATTAAACGTCATCGAAAACAATTGTCTTTACGCATTTTCTTCGGCCACAGTCTATGTTTGTTTCTGGGGAAAGGAATGGGTGGGTGGTGGATGGTATAGGGATCGAGCTATGTTCAAGACTAGAAGAGTTGTGGTGGAAAATGAAGGTGAAAGAGAAGGCAACAGGCAGACACACACACTTTCTCTATCTCTCTCTCTCTCTTGCGAGGGAAAAGTACATAAAAAACACGCACACATTCGCACATTATTAAAAATATATATCATATAATATATATATATATATATATATATGTATATGGCCACGAATCGAAACTGGGAAAGAGAAATCAGGGAAAAACTAAGCGTAAGTTGGGCTAAACTAGATTTTCGACTAACTACTTAAATAGCACGATTTACAACACAAAACATACATTAAAAAAAAGGGAAAACACAATAATAAATGTAAAATGTTAAATGTAAAATAATGTAAAATATTAAAACAAAAACAAGATTTGCTTACGATTGTTAGTTTGGCAATTATTGAGCAAATGCAGTTAATGGGGGAAGGTGGTGATGGTGGAGGGGGAGAAGGATTAGGAGTAGGATTAGGATTAGGCCTGGGGTGTGTACCGGGTGTTTGGTGTGTGCTAGAGAGTGTGCTTGCTTGCTTTCGAGTCTTGATGTCGTCGTCTGCTGCCTTTGTCATGTCTAGGATTGCTTGTTGATTTTCATTCTTTCCTTTCTTTATACGCTAAATTGTGAACTGATCTCTCTGGGCGCCAGCTCGGCGCTACTCCTGCCACTCGTTCTCATCCACACCCTCCATGTCGTCCTGCTCCAGCTTGGTGGTGAACTCCATGCGCGCACTGACCGACTTTTGGATCTAAGAAAAGATTGAAAACAGGTATTAAAACCTAAAAGCGAGATTATCTCCTACTCCTCCAACTCACCTCCTGTTGCTTGTTGGTCTCGTAATCCGATTTTTGGCCACCAAACTGCTGATGATCCGACTTCTTGGCGGCCACCGGCACTTGTTGTATAGAAGAGACTGCAAAAAAAATAATAATACAATAATAGTTAGGATATCAGGAAAACAGTTTAAAGGGGGATTGTATTCCTAAGCTGGGCCATCACTCACGTGTCTCCATGCCCTCCGGCTTGAGGCTGATCTTGGGCGCTGCCTTATCATTGCTGGCAAACCAATCTTCGGCGCTCAGCGTGGCGCTCCAGGTGATGCGCGTGGGTGGGAACAGATCGTCTTGGAAGAGCTCGCTCTGTTTGGTAATTATAGATAAGACCTTATTTATATCAAAGAGACTCCTTTACTCACCTTAATGCGCGGCACTGTGAAGCTGAGGGCTCAATGGTGGTATTGGTCAGGCGATAGGCCTTGGAAAACTCCACGCTGGCCACATCGCAGTGGTTCTTGGTAAGGAAGCTGAGGCCCTGGTGCAGCGAGGTGCAGCGATGGTGCGACAACGGGCAGATGTATGGCTCCTCATCGGTGATCTCGTAGCAGTAGATGGTGGAATCGCCCTTGCCGGTGGCAAACAGCGTGGAGCTGTCCTCGTCATAGAAGGGAATGAGTATCGAGGGCGATACATCCAAGCTGGCCGTGTTCAAAGGAGCAGCCAGTTTCTGGGCATTGTACACGCTTATCTGTCGCTCCGAAACCCTGCAAAGAAATACCCAAGAAATCCTCTAGAAATCATATACCCACCGATAGCAGAAAGTTACTTACTTGTCAAAGCCTGTGCAGACAATGTACTGTCCATCCAGGGCCCAGGTGATGCGTGCTCCGCGTGAGCCCACCGGTCCGTTGCCCTCCCGTATGGGGGTCTCCGATTTACGTGGATTGTAGACCCTAATCTTGCCATCCTTGCAAACGGTGGCGCCCAGACGGCCACATGGACTCCAGGCAAAGTCAAAGATCTGATCGGTGTGGCCAGAGAGGGAGCATTTCTCGCTCAACGTACGCAAATCCCACAGCTTGATGGTCATGTCGTAGCTGGCAGTCAGCAGGACATCCGCGGCCAACGGGTGGAAGCGTATAAAGTAGATCTTGTCCAGATGAGCGGTCAGCTCGCCAGCTGGCGTATTGGTTGGCTCACTTAATCCCCGGCACCGATGTGCCAGAGCTTTACGATGCCATCGTCACAGGCCACGGCCAGGCGCTGGGCATCAAATGGATCCCACTGGAAGTCCATGATGTTGCTGCCGTTCACCAGCGATGGTATAACCCCGTCCATTAGCCTGCCCGGTCGGCTTAGCTCGAAGATGGCAATCTTGCCACCGGGTCCAGAGAGCGGCACGGCCACGCGCTCCTGATTGGCATGGAAGCCATTGCATTCGCCCGGTATCTGGCGGCTTAAATTGCGCAAATTCTCAATGTGCGTCGACTTGTGGCCGGGTGTGCCCTTCAGATGCCGGAACTTGGACACCTTTCCAAAGACGGTGGAGGTGCGCTTGGTGAATGTCGCCTCCGTGGCGGATTTCTTGAGACCCAGAGCCGTGGCAGAGCCATTGCCGCGGCGGTGCTCCTCCAGCAGCTTGCCCTCCGGCACCGAGATGCGCTTGGGATCAATCGAGTTGTTGGCCTGCAGCTGTTGGCTGCTGGTCTTCAAGGGTTCCACCTTGGAGTGCTCGCGACGCCTGAAGGAAGGGTTACTATTACTAGGGATATTCTATTTAGAGCTTGGCTCCTCACTCACAATGGCACTGGCGACTGGGCCTTCTCGTCCACCTGGCTCTTGGAACGGCTCTCGTACAGGCGACGACGCTCGGCAATGCTGCTTCTGGTGGAGGTTGCCCTCTGCAGATTGCCATCCACACGCTCCTCGCCCTCCGTGGAGTTGCCCGATGACTCGGAGTTCTGTTCGAATATCTGAGGGACAGAAGGATTAGCAAGGAACAAAGAGAGATTGAGATTGATATTAGTTTGGATGATTAAAATAGTGACTTTTTGGAGGGCAGACCTTGTCGGATGATTCATCATCGTCGGCCGAGGACTAGTAGTTACCAGTTCCCAGTATTTAGAAAGGTTAGTTTGTGGAAGTGAGAGCGGTTTCAGGTATTTCAAAGATTAAGTTAGGAGTCGAGAGTTGAATTTTGTCGGCACAGGCATGTAAGAGAGGGGATAGATTCGATCGAGAGAGAACATTAGAGATTATAGAGCACGAGCTGTAGTTGCTGTGTAAGCAGATCTCCTCCTGGCCTTACCTTGCGTCGCTCCGAGGTGGTCAAAGATATCTGTACGCCGTTGCCCGTTGCTGGGGCCACGGCTGGAGCACCACGAGCTTTAATTTCAATATTCACAATTAGATCCGGCTTGGGACAACCCTCTGCGGGTATTATTTCCATGGCTCCGCCACTGCTGTTGTCCTGGCCCACGCTGGAGATGTTCTCATGGGAGCCTGGGGCCAAAGGCACGGCAAAGACCTTGTCGAATGACACATCCCCCGAGGTGCTGGAGAAAGGCTTCGGACCCAGACGTGGCTATGAATAATCGGGGAGATTGCAAACGTTTAATTATCAAGAATCGCAGTCTAGACCAGACTTTGACTAAATAATAAAAGTTTTCTACTGCAAAATAATAACTGAAAACCAAAGAGAAAATAAACAAAAACAGCTGATAAAAGGTGAGTAATAGCAAACCAGCTGGTATTGCCATGAAAACACAAGGTGTATTGGTGCACTCTGCCTATCAAATATCAATCAAAAACAGAAAAACAAACAACTGATTCGCGAAAAGGGCTGGCAGCTGCCATAAATACATACTTGCAGCTATCCATTTCGCGAAAATGATAAAAACGAACAACAAAATCATAAGAAACAAAGGAAAACCAATTAAGGAAGCTAACCAAGTTCTAAAAAAGTATACAAAATACAACAGAAAAACGCCTAAACAAAGGGATATAAAACGTGAATTAAATTCACAAAATATATGAACTGAAAACCTCAACGATTTCCAACTATAAACGGAACATTTGTACAAAAATCCAAAGGGGATAGAACACCTTATAGGCCGCCGCTGCGGTGGTGCGTGGCCTGGGGCGTGGAGTGCCGCTGCCGCTGTTCTCCCCAGCGGAATCGCTGGCTGCCTCCGGCAGGGAATTGTTGCGCGATGTGCGCGGCATGGGCTTGGGCGGCGAATGGCTGCCACTGGCCGCCGATGAGGATACCTCCTCGCTGCTGCCAGTCGAATGCTCCTGCTCGGTGGGTGATTCCTTATCATCCTCCTGGGACTGGGGCTGGGACTGAGCCTTCTCCTTCTCGGAATCCACCTTGTATTTGGCCTCGAACTTGCGTATGAGCTCACTGCACTCGCCATCGGGCTGGGTTTGGACGGGCAAAATGCTGCCCTTCTTGCCATTGCTGTGGTTGCTGTTGTCGTTGCCGTTCTTCTCCTCGAAATTGTTGCCCTTGCTGAGCATCACAAAGTGCTCGTTGTCGTTGCGCTTGGCCAGTGGCTTTGTGGCAATGGTATTGGGGTTGCCCTTGGAGCGCTGATTCTCTAGATTCTTAACCAAATCACTGAGATTGCCGCGATGGATCTGAATGGCCGAAAATGGGAATTAGAGGGTAAAGGCCTAAGCGATACACTGACTCGGACAGCTAAGAGAGATTCCCTTGATTAAAACCCTTCCCTTGCGTACTTCCTAATCTCGAAAACATTCTTAAGCTTCTATTTAATAAAACTTACAATAATTGGCTCATCGCCATTCTCACGCTTGGCAGGATCCAGGCTCATCTTGGGCACTGCCTGGTTGCTGCCATTCAGCCACTCGCCGGCCACAAGTTCCGTCTTATAGCCCGAGGTCTCTGGATACAAATCAGCATGGAAATCCCGGTATGTCTGTAAGCAACGCCGGAGATTAAGAGATTTCTTTCAATGTTTTAAGTTAGATATAGTCACCTTTCGTGGCACTTGGTACATAATGGGTATGACCATGTTAGAAGTCAGCTGCAGCACACGATTCACCTCAGCCTCCATGACCTTCAGCGCTCTCTTCGGCACCAGGCATGCCCCCTTTGTCTGTTCGCCGGTGTGACGAAGACCCTCAATGAAATACGGATCCTTGTCCGTAACTTCCAAGTAATTAATTGTTGTGTCACCCTTTCCGGCCAGGAATAGCATATTTGTGTCCGGATCAAACAGGGGCATTAGTACACCCGTGGAGCAGTCCAATTCCAGGGTTTTCTCGGGTGTACCAAAGTTGCGTATATCGCGGATGATCACCTGACGCAAGCGGGCCGCATCGAAGCCGGTGGTCAGGATGCGCGTCTGATTGCCCAGCCACACTACACGCGAGTCCTTGATGCTCTGATGCGATTCAGCGGTCATCTGTATGGGCGAGCCGGTGGCCCTGGGATCAAAGATACGCACGCACTTGTCCTTGCAGCTGGTGGCCAAAACGGAGCCATCTTCACGCCAACTGGCCGATTGGATCACCTCGGGATGTTCATTGTTTGCTAAAGAGTATTCGTATTAGATTTGCTCGGGAATTTCGGGGTCACAACTCACAGAAGATCTCCTTTTGGGTGCTGAGATCGAAGAGAGCCACACAGCCGGCGGCTGTGGAGTACATCAGGCCATCGGCCGTGGGATGGAAGCCGACGGTTTCCACGCGTCGTTGCTTGTGTGAAAAGACGGCCTCCGGATCGGAGAGCGACTGTTCGAGGCCCTTTTCTGGGATGTGCCAGATCTTGACCTGTAAACAAATTGCCATAAGTTTAATCGTAAGTTTTCTACTCCAAAAATCACCAAGGAAGATGTTTAACTCAGGAAAAAAAATCAAGTAGAAGTTGCACTTAGAAACCGCAAAGTAATAAAGGTGAAAACGTGTATGGCTCCAGTTAAAAAAAAAAAAAAAAACTTGACTTGGGGAAAGTTTGCACTGCAGATTTTCCACTTTTAACAGGAATTCTATGATTCATTTCGCATTATTCACGTATTTTTTAATCTTTGTTTTGTTTCGACTAAATTAAACTTGGTTGTTCTAAGAAAAGTTTATAAAAAAAAACAGAAACTAAGCAGAAGTGAAAGCTAGCTATTGTTATGACTTATTCCAGATGGAAATATGCCACAAATGCCGGTTTAAATTCCTTATTCCAGATAGGAAAATATCCTAAACATGTTTTCCTTACCAGACAATCCTGCGAAGCGGTGGCCAGTAGACCGTCATGGAAGGGCGAGAACTTGAGATCTGTCACTGTGTCCGTATGGCCATGGAGGAGCGGCATCGTCTTGCTCTTGCGTCCGCAATCGTCCAACGGCAGGACAGCGACACTGGAGCCGGTATGCTCCCAATTGAAGGCCATAAAGGCGGCCGAGGCGGCGATATTGTTGCCATAAGTCTGATAGCTACCCACGCAGATCTCGCGGACGCAGGCCTCCGCCTTGGGCACAATGGGTGCGGCATTTTTGTACTTGGAAGCCTTGAAGCGCCACGCCATGATTCCGGTCTAAGTTCTAAGTTCCTCTGGCTAAGCTGCTCTGGCGCTGTGCACGTCGAGTGTTCTCTGGCGGAGTGTCGATTGTGGATTGGATTGGATTGGATTGGATTGTCCAGTCTCCAGTGGGCCAGTTGCCTGTCGCTCTGTCACTGTCTCTCGCTCTCGTTCAGTGCGTGCGTGAGTGTGTGTGGTTGCGTCTGGAAAAATGGCAAGCATATCCGTGTGTTAGTTGGTGTGATATCAGTGCGGGTGCGGGAGGGGCGGGGCGGGGAGGGGCGGTGTGAGCTGTCGCGGTCTGTGTGATATCACTGGGCAAGTGGCAGTGTGCGGCAGTGCCACTGAGTCACCTCATCCGATAAGGCGCACAATAGGCGACGGCGGCAGTAGGCAAGAAATAAATAAATGAAGAAAGGAGAGCTTTGCTGCTGCAAGTGCAGCTGCTGGTGCACTTGCCGCCGATTGAAAAGAGAAAGCTGGGCAAGAATGGTGCGGTGGAACTGGAACCGCCACTGGTGGTGGCCACAAAAGCCGGATGAGCAACTCTGGGGCAGACTAACAGCACTCGGTGTGTTATGCTCTGTGTGTATGCAATGCTTGTTTGTTTGTATAACAGCAAAGGAAGCGAAAGGCGAAGGCAAAGCACTGGGCGAAATATACAAATATCTGGTGACGCGCGATCCGCCCCATCTAAGGCGCTAAGGGTTAATATGTGCCGCCACACCTAGGGGTTAACGATCCTGCAGAACTCACACATACACCAACGCAACTGGCATTATAGTGCACCAACACTTGCGCAAATGGTGCAGAAAAACTAACCACTTTTTCCTCTCTCCTTCTCGCTTTCTCTTCCTGGCACTGTAGGTGGATGGATGTTGATGTTAATTTCCAACATCGGCAACTGTTATCCTAACATAGCATTAACATTATTCAATTGTTATTTATGCAAAAAAAATTAAGTATTTTCTCCCTCTTTAAAAATTCTCTCGTTTGCGCGGAAAATTACGTTATTTTTGCGCAAATAGAGAGTGAGAGAGGGCAGGAAAAACATCGGGAAAATATCTCGTCGGCTGCCGAAGTTCGGTTTTTAATTTTAACACCATTTTATTACCAACACCAATGCGTTTCGGCAGCCGGCTATTTTGTTTTTTCTCCACCTTCGCGTTTTGTTGTTGTTGCTCTTGCCATTTCACCCACTAAACACACACGTACGCACACACATGCACGGTCCTGGTGGTTGGTTTTTGTTGCAGCTTTTTGTATGCATTTATTGACATTTTCCGCTAACGTCGATTTTTTTTGCCTTCTTTTTGTTTTAACAAGTGATTATTGGGTCTTACTTTCCAGTGTCGCGTGCAATTAATTAGGATTGGTTTTTCCTTCCTCCTGCCTGAGTATTTTCTCCCCCGTTCCGTTTCCTTTTAGGTTTTTTTCTTTTTGCAGCAGCAGCAACACAAACACACCCTGGCGCCGGCAGCGACGAAGAACAAGAAAAGATGAAGCAGCGGCAATGACAATGACAACTACAACAAGTACAGCGCAAGGAGGAGGAGGCAACAACAACAACAACAACTGCGCCGACGCCGCCGCTTTTTTATGGGCAAACAAAGGAGCAGTTTCGCACACACACACGCACACACCCACAAAAGTTGCATTCGGTGCAACAACAGTTTTAACAAACACCGAAAGCCGCAAAACGCAGCGTCTGCAAATGCATCGCGTACTCACGCTCACGCCACGCCAACGAAATGCCGCTGAGAACGTTGCCAAACCGCAGCTCCGGGCGGTAATTTCCAATCCAAATCCGAATGAAATCAATAAAAAACTACGCTAGATCACAACCTTTTCTTTTCGTACCGTGCCAGTGTTTAAAACTAGTGCTGGCAAAACATTGCACCACTATCGATACTCTCTATGTTTGTGTTTATCGCTATTGTGTACGAAACATCGATTTAGGTTGGACGTGTAGTGCAGACACGAACCATTTTTTCGGTTGAATTTTCGAAAGCTTAGTACTCGTATTGGTTTTGCTTTAAGAGTTTACTTACTTAATCAGTTGAAGTTTTATCAAACAAAACAAAAGTATATAGCTTGGTAATAATATACAGGAATAATATAATTTTATTGAAGAGGAAATTCCCAATTTCTTAAGAAGTTTGAAAATAGAAAACGGTTGACGATTTCTAGATAGTGCACTTGAGCTGCCAAAACATCGATTGCACGCACGTAAATATCGATGTCTCTACTTTGGCATTTTAAACAAAAAAACAAATGAACCGATAAGGAATTAGTCTGAATATTGAAAAAATTGTAGGGAATGTTATAGGTTCTGCGCATGAATACCCCTCTATAACTAACGTCAATACTTTGCGATGCCAACGCAATAGTATCGATATCTGACCACAACATTCCCAACAATCATCGATGGGGCCAATCATCGATGCTGTAACATCTCTATATCGCATCGCTCTCTGCACCGCAGCTCGCATTGTTATTTTTTTTTGTATTTTTTTTTGGCTCGAACGAGTTGGTTCGATGGCGCTGTTAGCCAACAACAATAACAATAACAGACCGCGGCCAAGGTGCACCGTGAATATCGTTTTTTAACCAAAGTGAACATAATATCGCAGGAGCTCGCGCGGATCGTAAACATATATTTATTGCTGCCTCCTCCTGCAGAGAGAGTGAGAGAGGGCGAGCGGGTGTGCGTGTGTGTGCGTGTGCGCGCCCCCCGATGTGAGTGTGTAGCGGGCGTGTGTGTTTCGGTCGGAGTGTGCGTGTGTATGTGCGCGTACAAATTTGGTGTGCGGCAAAGGCAAAGGAAACGGGAAAAGGAGAAGGAGAAGAGGCTGAGGGCGAGGGAGGCGCTGGAGCTGAAGCTGGAGCTCCTGGAAGTCCACATCCAAATCCCAAAACCGAAACCGAACCCGCAAAAAGGCGCTCATTATGAATATTCTGCAAAAAATCGGTGAGTACCGTTAGTTGCCGCCAAAGAAAAACAATAGGAAAAACGGAGATTATTTTTTTGTGTGAGATGGATTTTGTTTCCCATTTTCTTAGCTCTCGCATCTCTTTTCGCTCTCAATGCCTGTGTGTTGGTTGCTGTCTGCGAGTGTGTGTGTGTGTGTGCCTGAGTGTGTTTGTATGCATCCTCCAGGATTTCTTGCCCCCTTCTTCATCATCTTCGCTCTCCCCTCATATAATTTTCACCGTTTACCGTTCTGTGCATCTAACACACAAACACACGCAGACACAGAAACAGACAGACACACACTCCTCTTTTGTTGTTGTTGCTGCTGCTCGCTTTTGGGCTGTCAACAAGTCTATTTTTAGATGCTGCAGTTGCTGCTGCTGCTGCTGCGGCTGCTGCTGCTTCCAGAAGTGTTAAACATTGGGAGCATCACCGACAACAACAACAACAACAACTACGGCAACATCAACTTCCTATTGCCATACACGCCCCCGCCCATGCATTTTGCTTCCTTCCCACTTCCCATTCTCCCTTTTTTTTTTTTATTTGGAATTCTCCCACAAATGCAAACGGTTGGGAACCCGACTAAAGCGTGTGTTTTTAGCTGGAATTCATATTCCATTGTCCATTGTCCACAAAAATAAGCGAAACCAACTGAAAATTCTGATTAATTCCTGGCAAACGGCAGTCGCCATTAATATCCTGTTGATTCCCGGCAGCAGCAGCATCAGCGACTGCTGCATCCTTTGTGCTTAACTTCATACATTGTGCAGTCCCGGCCAATGTAAATTGTTATTTCTTTATTGTTTCCATTATAATATTAATGAATTCATTTTGCCTAATGGTAGTTCCAATTGGTTTTTATTAAGTTATTTTATGGATTTCCAAGAAATAATCCTTTTCAGCCGGCGTTTTCTATTAAAAAAAAAAGTCCTCGAATACGTTATTTTTCCCATTTTAATTTAATTTTCATTGGAATTGTGCTTCTATGTTTCTGATTTCCACTTTTGCAGTGGAAAAATTGTTAAGTCAAGCCTTGATTCCATGGAAAAACCATTTTTCCCGTTTTGTTTACTTTTACAAAGACATCCTGCTTTGATTTTAGTCTTAATTAAATTGCACTGGCTTTGAGTTTTATAAAAAAAATGCATTCCAGGATAAATTAACTTTCCGTTTGCATTATTTACTCCTGCCCTGAGTTATTTTTTCCCGGGAAGTCCTTTTGGTTCCATAATATCCATTCTAGCTAAATGCTTAGGTAGAAGTTTTGGCTTTAATTAAAATATAGTGGCTACCAATTGCAATTCTTGGGAATAGCTTGTTCTGCTGTTTGCTGGCAATTAATGTTAAATGGGAATGCTCTTGGCTTTATTGTAATATTTGTTTCATTCTGGTTGAATATTTAATTGGACATTTATTAATCGGAACTCTGTGATTTCCCAGAAAATGCACAGGCAGGCAGTTTTTGAGCCTTTCAAGCATATCATCATCAACACAGGCACAGGCACAGGCACAGGCACAGGCACAGGCACAGGCACAGGCACAGGCACAGGCACAGACAGGCTTTCGTTTGACCATTATCCTTTCGACTGCAGGTCGCAGGTTTTGACTTTCAATTAGTGCGACGAGAGTAGAAGAGAGAGCTTTGAGTTTCAGTTCTTCTCAATCCAGGAGATGTGCCTGACAGCTTCGACCGTGTTGGACCTTTTTAATTAATTCCAGGCTGCATATCGCTCTAGTTCGGTTTTCACTGACTCAACTTCTGTTTAAAAGCGAACGGATCCCGAAGAATGCTTTTCCTGGAAAATAATTGTTTAATTTCTGAATTCATGGCTACAACGAAATCTGAACTTTAAGTTAAACAATTTCCCGCTATATGCATATGGCCCTTTGTTAAGATTGTTTACTGAGCTTTGATGCCATTATTGTAGTCTACATTGCAGGTTTTCTTCTATAAATATGTTAAACAGTAATTAGAAACCAATATAAGCTATAATCTACTTGCAAAATGATAAAGGTTAGCTGGACACGTCATGGCACCTTGCTTGCCAAGTTTTCTATGATTTTACCATAGATTTCTGCATTATTTAGTTAACTTAATTCTTTTTGGTCTAAACCTAACAAGTTTTGGACCACGTCTATTCTCCTTTGTTTACTGTTTACCTATGTATTTTCTTTCCTAACATTTAGCAGAGTGCAAAATCTTAGACCCGCCAGCAGCTGACTGACTGACTGACTCTTATCAGAGCCCATTCGTTAGCGATGATAACACAGCACACATCGTAAAGCACACATACTGCCAGTCACACACAATTCACACACATGCTTCAGCTCGACAGTAGTTCACTGAAAGTGCAAAAACCTAACAAAACTACCAGACGTCCTTCTCATCTATTATAGCTTTGACTCTTCTGTGTTGTCAGTTTTTTATCAGAAAGCTATACACATTCATAACTTATATTCAGTCTTGTTCCTTCAATAATATTACGTATACGTCAAGCTACCAAGTTGTATGAGTTTGGAACATGAGCTACATTTTAATGCCCCTGCAGGGTATTGCACCTTCACTCAGAAACTTAAAAGAAAGTGAAGGAGTCATTTCCGACCCTATAAATCATATATATTCTTGATCAGAATCAACAGGCGAATCTTTCTAGCTTTATCTGTCCGAGAAAAATTTTTTCATAAATTTCCCATTTTCTGAAAAAAAGGAAAGGGGCCAAAAATTCGCGTTTTAAATGGAGTATGTAGCTTTGTTAACCTGCTAAAAACTAACATAGGAACGCTTTCCGAATTGAAATTATAGCATTTTTGGCTTAGTTATGAGATTTTTAAAACCATGATTTTTTAAAAAAATAGGCATAAAAATATAGGTAATATCGATTAAGAAATTCACTCAGAAGCTTAAAAGAAAGTGAAGGAGTCATTTCCGACCCTGTGAACATTAGGCAGTTTTATTAGCCTGCTCAAAATGAACATACGACCGCTTTCCGATTTGAAGTTATTGCTGTTTTGGCTTAGTTATGCGATTTTTAAAACTATGGTTTTTTAATAAATATGCATAAAATATAGGTAATATCGATTTTAAAAATGGTATAACCCCTTCACTCAGAAGCTTAAAAGAAAGTGAAGGAGTCATTCCGACCCTGTGAACATTAGGCAGTTTATTAGCCTGCTCAAAATGAACATACGGCCGCTTTCCGATTTGAAGTTATTGCTGTTTTGGCTTAGTTATGCGATTTTTAAAACTATGGTTTTTTAATAAATATGCATAAAAATATAGGTAATATCGATTAAAAAATGGTATAACCCCTTCACTCAGAAGCTAAAAGAAAGTGAAGGAGTCATTTCCGACCCTATAAATCATATATATTCTTGATCAGAATCAACAGGCGAATCTTTCTAGCTTTATCTGGCCGGGAAACATTTTTTTCAGAAATTTCCCATTTTCTGAAAAAAAGGAAAGGGGTTACATCATTAAAATTTGCAAAAATCTGCCAAAAATTTGCGTTTTAAATGGAGTATGTAGCTTTGTTAACCTGCTAAAAACTAACATAGGAACGCTTTCCGAATTGAAATTATAGCATTTTTGGCTTAGTTATGAGATTTTTAAAACCATGATTTTTTAAAAAAATAGGCATAAAAATATAGGTAATATCGATTAAGAAATTCACTCAGAAGCTTAAAAGAAAGTGAAGGAGTCATTTCCGACCCTGTGAACATTAGGCAGTTTTATTAGCCTGCTCAAAATGAACATACGACCGCTTTCCGATTTGAAGTTATTGCTGTTTTGGCTTAGTTATGCGATTTTTAAAACTATGTTTTTTAATAAATATGCATAAAAATATAGGTAATATCGATTTAAAAATGGTATAACCCCTTCACTCA